AGTTCACTGGAGGAAACTTTACTGGCCCCACCGACTCTGATTAAGCATGGATGTGGTGCTAAGTCACGCAATGAGCTTTGGGGTATGAGAGCGGTATCGTGGTGGTGTGAGCTTCCAGATTGCTGGTAGGTTTTGGGGTAAGATACAGATAAGTTGCATGAAACGAGCTGCTTGGTTTCAGCGTAGGGGTAAAGAGATAAGATGTTGCTTTATGAATCTTAAGTCATCTTTTTATCTAGTTAGGTCAAGTAAGCTCTCTATTTTGACAACTTGCGGATTTTGTACCTTTCTTTTTTCTCAGAAGGTGGAGTCTGGTAGGCTCACAGTCATTCTTGGGATTTTCTTCTTTTGGTATTGTCGTGTTTGATATCAATGTTGATGGTAATAAGTCTCTCGTTGATGTGGTTTATATGATTGTTTACTTTAGCTGCATGTGGCATATATCAACCATTTTGCGTCACTCTTGGTTATCTGAAAGTTCATCTCCGCCGATGTTTTACAGACATACCACACCATTGAGCTGGAAGAGAGGTGGAATTGATTGTAGATCCCGTTGGTCTAGGGTTGTGATTTAGGTATCATGGCGTCTCCATTGCTCGAAATATGCGTAGATGCCCGTCTCTGCTGCTCGCTTTAGGCAAGGCTGTCACTAGGTGCTCAGGAGTAGTCATAGTAAACAACTATAGCCATTGAATAACTCTGAGAGATATCGTGCAACTCTAGAAATTAGTCCACAGCCATCGAGTACCATATCAAGTATACAGCTAGTGCTGTGCGTCACCTGCTAATAACGGCATAGTTTCAGGCCCTAGTCCCTGTGCAACATACTGCGTATTTTCATCGGATATGATGAGAAGGCGTAAGAAAAGGGTTGTTCGCTTGTCCAGGTTTCGACAATAGATCTTCATGTGTTACATCATGGGACTATGGGACGCTGGAGCTGTCAGGTAGTCATCGCCCAATCACGAAGCTTGCAGTACGACAGAACGATGTTTTGAGTTTAGCGCATCAGTGAGTGGGGAAGGGTCCACGGTAGCACCACCTTTGATCTCACACCCTCGATCTCAATCCAAGACCTATTGCAATAATCCAGTTACCACTGAATACCTTTTTTCCTTGAAGTTACCACTTCCACTACCTTTTGCTTACCGTTTCCATCCATCCATCACGTATCTAGCTTCAGTGTAGCTTCAGTATACGTTTTGCTGGTAGCTGGACATAGCTGTGCATGCCGCAGAAGCCGGTATGCACAACAGCGTGAGCAATGACAACGAGAAGGTCTCATAACAAGACTAGACTGGGTTGTCATCAATGTAAGAGAAGACGGATCAAGGTATGTGTAGTTTTTCTACCATTCCCGAGGCGCTGTGCACAGCAGCTTGCGCATTCATGCTTTATAAGCGGCTCTCGCCTAGTTCCATCACCAGAGAGAGCGAATGGAAACATTATTGTCTTTGCGGCTTTCCCGCGATTTTTCCATGGCTTGAAAGGGGGGCTCTGTGGCCAATACGCTTCAGATTTGATATTGGATGAACGTCTTATTACCAGACAATATCAATCTCCCAAGGAAATTGTAGCTGATTTTTCATGGTAGTGCGATGTCAAACATCCTAGTTGTGCGAACTGCGACAAGAAGGGTGAGACATGCAGCTTCTTAATGCTCGCACCTTCCTCCCTTCTTTCGACACGATCAACATCGCCCACGTCATCACAGCTGTCAGCCCTGACATCACCCCCATCGCCCAATGGATCATCTCAACCACATTCAATGCACTCCCCGAACAACCTGACGGCCTTCAGCAACCAGATCGCCTTGGCAACGCAAACACCACGACAGACTGAAGCAGATTTCGAGATCACACCACTGGACTTGTCCACCGGCTCAGGTGCTTCTCCTGCACAGCTGTACTTCTCAGACATCATTATCCCACCCTACCTACGTCTTAACGACGTCTGGAAAGATATCCGCGAGGTCCTTCCGCCATCCCTCCAAGAGGTGCTTTCCCATTATGAATACACTACATCGCTGTCTCGTGCTTCCGACGATCCAGCAAAAGCGGCGTGGCAAACCTGCGTTCCAGAGATGGCACACCAGCATGAGTTTCTCGTCAATTGCGTGTTGTCAGTCGCCTCGTTACACCTAGGTCGACTTCGAGAGGACCAAGCGGAGAAGAGAAAAATGAATGCTATCGCTGCATCACGTATGAACAAAGCACTCACGAAGTACCGTTCAGCTTTGGAAAACATCAACCAAGACAATGCTGCCGCGCTATTCGCTAGTTCAACGCTTACTGCCGTTTACTTATTTCGCACTTCTCAGCTCGATATCCAAAACCTCCGCGCTTCCGTTCCATCAGACACCGTTGTGCCACCTCCAGATGTGGTGGACAAGATGATGATGTGTGCATTACGGTCAATCTGGGGCCTCAGAGGCCCACTCAGTGTGCTCATGAGCGGATGGAACTTTGTGATGAGCGGCAAAATGCACCCTGTTGCTCATCGGGAATGGTGGCCGACGAGCTTCATCCCAGCCACTCCACAAGCAGTGGACGAAGACGAACGCCTCAGAAGAATAGAAGCGCTCTGGACAAGGAGTGATAGATCATGGGCACCCGGGCACATCCACCTTAGCCAAGCGTTATCCATCTTGCGAGAGACGTTTAATTTGATCAGTCAATTGACCTTACCTGCGAAGTACCCGCCCATGACAGCAGTCCCTTACTCGGTGGACGACACGACAGTCGGTCTGCTGACCGACCGAGGAGCAATATTCGTCTGGGCAACCAGAATATCTCGAGAGTTTATACAACTGGTTGAGAAGAAAGACCGAGATGCCCTAGTCATCTTGGCGCACTACGCCATACTACCAGGTCGCGTACGCAACGTGTGGTGGCTTGAGGGTCTGGGAGCCGACTTCGTAACGGCGATTGCCATGGCACTGGGAAAAGAGAACTGGTCCCTGATTGCATGGCCAGCAAGCGTTGTAGGCGTGGAACTAGAAAACGCATTTGGTGCTAGGCAAGATCGGCTGGAGGGGACCCCTGATGAGATGCACATGGCGGTGATCTAATGACCCTGAATTTTGATCGGGAAGATATGGATTGAAGGGTCCAGTCTTCCATACTGATGTTGCATGGTACCTCTGCACGATTTGGCGAAAGCTTGTGCACCTGCGTCAATTTGGTGAAAGCTTGCGCGCCTGCGACCAAGTACAGATTGGTTCAAACTCGGTCGGCCTCACCAGCAAACCTTAACAAGCGAATGCGAACCCTATATCATGAAATAGTCGGTAACAGCTCGCTAAGGCATGAACAAAATCAAGAGAGCCAAGCATAGATTCTGCTCGCCCTCGCCCTGCATCGTCCCCATTACTCTGAGTTTTGTCTCGTACAGGGAATCCAAGAACGGCGCATGCATAGTGTATCCCAAGTCCTACTTTGTGGATAACAAAGTTGGCCAGGTCTCTCCTTCACAGACAGCTCCGCGTGGCGAAAATAAAACACCGATGCTATGAGCTTCACAGTAGACAAGCACACGACTCCTAGCCCTTGCACTTGTAGCATGTAGTCCAGGAAGTCCACAAAATCACGAGTACGATGCCCAAAGCTGACCTAAGACGTAGAGTAGTCCATTCCTTAGCTCACATCAGATTCAATCGAACTTCGACCTCCTCGCTGCCCGAGGGCTTGCTTGTCGAAATCTTCAAATCCAGCGGATTCATTGTGCGATTGACCCAGACACCCTACCCTACGCTGGAGCTTTGCCCTGCAGAAAATCAGGGTTACTATGCGTCGAAGCAGAACGCAGACGATGGCGACATGGAAGTCGAATATCCATAGGAACCGTAGGGATCACCAAATCACTGGGTTCAGTGCGCATGTAGCTTCTCTCTCTCTATCCTACTTGCAGGGACATGGGCTATTCACCCTTAGGAAAATCTATCGAGGATAGATTACACGTAACTTTTTTTTGACTGTTCAGGTGTAGTGGGGATCGACACCGTGTCCTGGCACTACCCTTGAACTTTATGAGAATGGCGTGCCGGTAATGGGAAAACTGTTGGACGTGTATAGAGAAACGACAGCGCTCATAGCATTCGTGAGCTTATCAGACGCAGACGAGTGTATACAGGATGACGAAAAAGGGTACGAGAGTAAAGCTACTCGGCATGAGGTCGAAGAGACTGAGCCGTTAGCTTACAGGGCGATGCAGCACAAGTCAAGTCTCTGACATATTGGTGGATTTTGTATGGGACACTGGTCACCTAGTGTCTGATGACAGCATAGAATTGGCGCAAAAGCATGTGATATCCGCATCATGTTTTCATTCATGACTTGAAAATACCCCAATACAGTAGGCTAACTTGCAGCCAACGCTCCATATATCCATTAAAAAGACCATACAATGCAATAAAATGCAATGGTATACGCAACGCCATCAGCAATGCCCAATCCATCATCATGAAAACGCCCTACACTGCTCCGCAGCCGATTCCCCCACGCTCACTTCCCCTTGCCAACACTCTCCTCACTCAACTCCCACTCCGGATTCCAATGCACATACTGGGCCATGGCAACATTAAGCAACCACTCTGTCTTGACAATCCTAGGCACCATGTCGTGTTTGGCCGCGAGTTCCCTAAACTTGGCCCACAGGCCAAACTCCTTCTCATCGGCATTGCTAATCAGATACAAGACATCGCCCTCATCCTCGACCTGATTTTGCGAGACTTCCTTGTCCTGGGCGTCGAGGCGCCGCTTCGAGGCAGACACCGTCGTCGTTCTGCCCTTCCAGCTGATGCATTTGCCGCCGTTGGCCTCGATGATGTCCTTGTAAGTTTCAAAGCCACCGGCGACATTAGGCGTGCAGAAGATGAGCCAGTTCTTCAGTAACTTGTGCTTGTTCTGGCGAGCGCGCTGCAGTGCGTCTGAGATTTTAAACTTGTTTGCCTTTTCAAACTTGCTGTCCTGGAGGAGGTGGTGTTCTGGTGGGGGCAGCTTGTGGTGTTTGAGGGCGTAGTCGAGGTACGATGTTGAGACCAAGGTGGGTGCGCAAGCCATGGCGGCGATGAATTTCTTGGTGCGGACGGGGTGTGGGGCGCAGACTAGGTCGACGCGTTTGAAGTCGTCGGTGATGAAGAGGCCAAGTTCGCGGAGGCGGGCTTTGTCCGTAGAAGCTTTCTCGTCGTTGTTCGTCCATTTGTCGTGTTTGGAGACAAGCATGCGGAGTTTGATGGGTGTGAGCTTGTCCTTCTTTGCTCGCTTGTTCTTGGTCGGGGCATCAGTGGTTTCGAACTCAGTCTCATCGTTTTCGTCGTCGTCTTCATTGACTTCGTCGATAGAGCGTTTACTTGATAGCGAGTCTCGGTCTTTTGCTTTTTTGGCTTTGTTGCTGATTTCGTCTTCGGTTCTCCGACGTCCACCGTGTATCACTCCACCAGCACGCTTCATCTCTTTCTCGAATTGTGCAATGTCAGGTGCGGCCTCATGCAGCCTCGACAATGCCCGATCTTTGGCTCCCCGACTGCCCGGAGTAAAGTTTTCCTTGCCATCTGCACGGCGTGATAATACAGGTGTCTGTGTCTGTGCTTCTATTGTAGATTTCGCACGTTTGGTCTTCTCTTGGGCCGGTGAAGTTCGAGCAATTGGTGGGTTTGCTGCCTTGGCCATTGTCACAGTGGATGCTGGAACTGCGTGTGACTGCGCTACTAGTTTTGCTGTCTTCGTTGGCTTGGTCACCCTGGGAAAGAACAGCTTCTCTATAGCTTCCCGATCAATCTCAGTCTGACCCAATACTTCTCCCAGATTGGTCCGTGATGGGAAGTAGGTATATCGATTATCTGTGAGCGGCATTTCTCGGCATTTGGCATAGCTGTCTTCGAGCCAGAGATGATTGATAATGTTGACGCCCCATTCCATCGCAGCTTCACACTTTTCGCTGTTTTTGTGGGCCGCAATCAGATGGGTGTTTTCCTGCTTGAACGTCTTGGTGAACTCTGCGCCCGAAGCCTTGACCAAGTTTTCCAAATACACGCGGGCCTCGCCTGTGTAGCTCGATATGCTCATCTTGTAGCCTTGGAAGCCAGGGATCCCGTTTCGTGGTCTTGGGTAGTGCATCATCCGTTGCATAGGATTCGTCCAGACACTATGCGTAATGAGGTAGTATAGCCATCCGAGATTACCCACGTCCTTGCCCGCTTGTGATGCCTTGACATAGTCTGGACCCTCCCGATAGGTGCAAATGTACATGTCTGCCTCGTCGATGTTGCTAGTCACATTTCCGCCACCAGCGTTGATCATGCCTGTTATGATGCGCCGAAGTTTGCTGCTGATATTCAGGTCTTCCCCTAGCTTCACATTCTTTCCATCGAAGGCTTTGATGGCGCGCGGTGCTTCTGAAAAAGCGGGCGCAATTGGGACAGGCTCATTGAGCGGGTCGGGCGTCGTGGCGTCCCGTATTTGTGGACTCGGCCGGGCATTGGGTATCGTTCCAGCTTCGACAAGGAGTATTTCAGGATCTGGTATCGTGTAGGGTCGCTCTGATATTCGACGGCCGACCTTGAGACAATCGTCGAACCAGTGTGGCAAAACCATTTTCAGCTGCAAGCGCTTACTAATTGCAAGCTGGCACCGCTGATCTGCCACGTCCAGCGCAATGAGATGTGTCACCTGTTTTGACAGAGCAGGCGCGACCTGACCACCCATGGCAAGTACACCACCCTCGATGGCCTCTTTGTCTCCCGTCGGGATATCTCCGCAACATATAATGACCTCACTCATAAACAGCGCAGGGTCAGGACTATATGCCCGTGGATTCTTGATCTTGGCCGTTTGAAGCGATGCGTCTATCCATGCCGGCTTGACTGTGTGAATCATGAGATCGAGTGCGCGGTGGTAGTCTGGGAAATCCGACGTGGTCGAGACGATGTAGTTGATCTCGTTGAGCTTCTCGATGCGGCCTTTGGGGGCATCGAAAGGTACAATTTTGCCACCAGCATGTCTGACGGCGACTTCAATCTACACGGTGCGTTAGTTGCGCTTGTGTGGCATGTACCGGTATACCATGGCCGCCTTCTTCTCACCTGGCGAATGTCGTCTTCTAAGAGTCCGTTGGGGATGATTGTGAAGCTGAGCTCCGCAAAAAGGCCCTGCGCCTCTTCTTGCATCGTCACATCCTCCATGGCGGCGCGGTGGGAGGATGAAGGTTACGTTAACTTGGATCGTTGCTCTGTTGTGCGGCGCGAAAGTGGAACTGCGACTCGCGTCATTCGCGTCACCCACTCGCGGTACAGTCGCGCTTAGGACCCTGGAAGTCGCGTTCGTGTTCACGTGACATTCCGCCGGTAAACGGGTGCCCGGCCCCCGACCACATGGGTCCCTGAGTGAATTGGCAAACGTCCATGTTGCATGGCTACGAACTTCCTTTTCTTTCTTGTAAGTGAGATGGAAAAGATTACTGTGAGGAAAACCTTACTTTTTGGCAGTTGGTATAACCTGCAGCTAATCCACAGCACTTGGCCATCCACTGGTTGCGGAGACCCCAATGACTCCGACGACCTCGGTATCTTACCCCAGACTGAATGTCGGCAATTCGTCACGACCCCAGTCCCCCTAACAAAGCTACATAGCTACATCTCTAACTCATTGAACCACCCTCAGCCTTCTATCTGTCAACCTCATTTTTACTTTCTCTGAAGACAGTCTTGGCCAAGTTCACTTCCAGCTTTCAGCAGTGCGCATTCGGCTCAATCCTTCCTTAGCCTTGGTGGGAAGCGCCGTCTCCACCATGTCTTCAGCTTTCTTCCGCATAGAAGAACACGCGGTAGATGCATCACACATTCGCGGCTTCCCGCGCGCAACCTCTACAACACAAGACGAAGTATTGAAACTCGCCGTCAAACAATATACGCCTCTCAACAACCCCAATCCTACATCCGGGGACATAACCATCATCGCAGCGCACGCCAATGGCTTTCCAAAAGAGCTTTACGAACCGCTGTGGGACGAACTTATACAACGAGGTGAAAAGTACGGCTTCAAAATCCGAGGAATCTGGATAGCCGATGTTGTGAACCAAGGCTGGAGCAGCGTCCTGAACGAAGACAAGTTGGGCGATGACCGTAAGCCTCTCCTTGCCCTCCGCTACAGCCAACAACATGCTAACACTTTCTTCCCAGCCTCATGGCTAGACCACAGCCGCGACCTCCTACACATGGTCAACGTCTTCCGCGCTCAAATTCCCCGCCCAATCATCGGCGTCGGCCACAGCATGGGCGGTTGCCAACTCGCCAACCTCTCCCTTCTGCATCCCCGCCTATTCGAAACCCTTATCCTCATCGACCCCGTCATCCAGCCCAAGATGTCTATAACCGGCAATATCGGCCCTGCTGCTGCCTCTGCGCGACGCCGCGAGCGCTGGCCCTCGCGCGCCGAAGCACTGAAATCATTCCAGAAGAGCAAATTCTATCAAGCCTGGGACACACGAGTTCTCCATCGCTGGGTACAATACGGACTGAGAGATGTACCAACGGCCGTGTTCCCCGACGCAAAAGCACCAGAAGTCACCCTGACAACGACCAAGCACCAAGAAGTCATGACCTTTCTACGGCCAAACTTTCCAGCCCAACCAGGCGACACTGAACCTAGCTCAGCAGATTTCACCACCAACAACCCTAAACTCAATAGGAGAACCCATGCTGATCTCACTCCTCAAGCCGAACCCCAGGCCCCCTTTTACCGGGGCGAGAGCGCGATCGTATTTAACCAGCTCCCCGCCATCCGCCCATCCGTCTTCTACATCTTCGGCTCGGAATCATCGCTGACGAACCCCGCCATCATCGAGGAGAAAGTCGCAATGACGGGTGTTGGCGTTGGTGGGAGTGGTGGACGCGCAGAGGGACGCGTAGAAAGTGTCACGGTGCAGGATGCCGGTCATTTGATTCCCATGGAGAAGGTGCAGGAGAGCGCGGAGCACATTGGCACCTGGGTTCAGAAGGAGATGGTGAGGTACCGAGATTGGGAACGCAAGACGGAGGAAGAGTGGGGTGCGAGGAAGGGCGTGGAGAGGAGTGTGTTGAGTAAGAGATTTGTTGACGAAATCACCGCGTTGATGAAGAAGCAGTCCAAGCTTTGAATCCTTTGCTTGACAGCGGAGTGGAAGAGAGACGCTAGCCATCTGCATGATCTAAATCCTATACTACACGGTCACTCCATATCAGAAACGATGCCAAGTGCTTATATATCCCTTGAACTACAATAGACTTAAATTTTTGTTTTTGCAACCATTATTCTATACTTTTGACAGGGAACATTGTATCCTCATGTTGAACTGTACCAGCCAAACAATCACAACAAAAAAAACCACAACAACCATGAAGCTCACTCAATCGCTGTTCTGTTAGCCCAAGCTCTATCTGCAATCGCGGGCGAAGAATATTGCGACAACGACAGCCCCCTTCCCACAGACCATGGGTGTGTGGTACGTAAACTCCATCGCTCAGCATTATCAGACGCGCTAGATACAAGCACTGACACGAGAATCTAGTATGAAACGCAAACGAGTTTCTGTGTACGCTGATTCCATGACACTTGATACTCACCACAAGACTTCCAAGGCTTTGACGTGTACGAGACAGTCAATCACCAGTGACGGATTGCTTTGACTCAAGCATCACAGCTAACTAGCATCGTCATACACAGTAAGCCCTAAAATATACATTAACATAGTCTCTTCAAGTGCTTGCCGTACAATGCATTCCACAGTCTGAATATTCACACAAATAATCGTTTCACCCCCATACATCCCCCATAGCCGACAACAGCACACAGCACACTAACCTCCCTATCCGTCCATCACCTTTCGTGATGCCTGTTTAGGTTTAATACCCTTTCCGACAGAGCAATCAAATATCACAATAAGCTCCGAGTTCAAAAGAGTCTTGCTGACCGGCGCGTCTTGCACATTCGCAATGCCGCACAAACACAGAATGCCCAAAGGGCAAGTACAGACCTCAGAATCCACACACATAGATGAGACGAGGGGAAAAACATGCTCGATTGTAAGAGTTCCAGTTCACAACTCGATTGCGTAAAGTAGCAGATGCAGCAGTGTGCATGTGCTACGGAAGGGTATTTCAATACATTGAACATGAATCAAAAGACAAAACCTGGCAGCCACGATATCAACCCCATGATGCCAACCGCGCAAACAACCCGGTATTTCCAACACGACCCGGAAAAGAAATATATCCCTCCCCCTTCCCTCTGGACGACAATAATACACCAACCAGCCTCCCCTCCCTCTCCACACCATCCAGCGCCCATCCATCATCCCCGCAAAACCACCCCAAAGACCCCCCAAAAACCCAAACAACAAATTAAAACGCCCAGACAAACACAACCCCTCCCCCTATCCCGACCCCGCAACCCTAGCAACCGGCGAAACCTCACCACTCAACGGCCCACCCCCATAATACCGCGCCCGCTGACTTGCAGAACTCGCGCTGCGCGCACGAGACGCGGACTCAATATCCATATCGGGGTCGTAGTTGGAGAGCGGGGAGACGGGGCTTAGAAGGAGTGTGGAGGAAGGAGTGATTGTAGAAGTGGTAATGGTGGTGGTTGTGGTAGCAGAAGTGTAGAGAGTAGGAGTACTTCGATCTGTAACGCCACTGCCCGAACTTTGTGTGATGGTGGAGGGTGGAACGGCAGTATGTTGTTGGTGTATGGGTGTGATTTGCAGGGGCACGAGGGTGAGGGGTTGGGTGTTTTGTGGATTTGTGGAATGGGTTGTAGCATCCTGGTCGAGATATAGGGGAACACTACTTGCGCGATTGCGGCTGAACATGTGTGTTTTGTCTTCGTTTGAGAGGAGGGCGGCGCTGTCGGATTGGCGGTGGGAGAGGGATTTTTTCTTGGCTTGGGAGCGGCGGTGGAGGAAGAAGAGGAGGGCTGCTAGGAAGAGGGCGAGGAAGAGGAGGCCGAAGACGATGGTTAGGGCGATGTGGGATTTTGTCCAGTAGGTGCGGTTATGTGAAGCAGTGGTTCTTGTTTGGGTGGATGGGTTGTCGCTTACTGGTGTGGGAGCCATGGCCAAGATCTGGGTGGGTGGTGGAGGTTGGAGCTAGGGTGGGTGTTGAAGCTTGTTCTTCTCGCAGTGGAGGAGGGATCGAGAAAAGTAGAGGACAAGGATATATGGTTGAAGATTTGTTTGTCAGAGTACCGAATCAATGTTACCCCAGATACGGTCCTGACAAATTGTCCAAGTTGGGATGAGTTGCTGTTGTCCAACCTACCTGCACACGAATTAAATGATACAAGGGCGTCAGGCAGGATTATATTTGTCGGTTAAATGAAAGATAGGCATGGGCCGGTGTCATTGTACCGCCTCCACGCCGTGTCTCTGAATAGATCTCCAGGCCAAGCTCATCGCTGTATAAGAGAAGCTCAGCCTCAGTGCACTGTGGGGAAACGGATCTTCAGAGCAAGACACCGTCTTGCCCTTGTATGTACTTGACCGTGGGCGGTGGCTGGCTCGACAAATCGGGAAGTGACTGCGCAGTGTAGAAAGCTTTGGCTGTGCAATGAAAGAGAATCAGGAAATGAAATGTGTAGAAGCGGATCGAGGGTAAGTACAAGCTCGTCAGATCAGACATCAAGCGGTGCAATTACGTGCTAAGTACGGCCGTTCTGTTCTAGTAGACCAGTCAGCATTTTGCCTTTTAGAGCGTGCGAGCCACATTTGTATGCATTTACGCAAACCATCCACGCGGCTGAGTGGCTGGCTGCTGATCTCGCCCAACTACAACATTGTCGTACTGCTCGCGAAAGATGCTCGACTCTTTTGCCTTGCCTCTCTGGTATCGTCCTATCTGCTCATCTTCTACCAAGGAATCACCTATATCAAGTATCTATGCGCGAGCTGTCCCTGCTCCAGGACTTCAGACGTTTGTAGGTATCAGGAGACAGACGAACACAGCCACCTGACCGGATGCGCTAGGAGAAATGATGGCCTTGGAAATGCAGGCCCTAGCGTGATTGTCGATGCGGAGTGCCTTAAGCCCATCGGTGAGTCTGCCTGGGTCAGATCGGACTTGGTATGGACAACGGCCTTTGTGCCAAGTTGTGGAGGAAGTAGCCAAGCTACCATGGACTTGAAGCTGACATCGACGCCATGATGTGCAGATATATGTCGGTGTGAGAGCTCCCGTTGTGAAGCGCTCGCATTATAAAAGGCGCTCGATGCTGCGTACTTCTTCACGACAGTACGGCGTGCAGCATGCGCGGGACGAGTCGCAGGTTGGAAATTGCAAGCGAGGCTGTGGTGTTGATGAGAGAAGGCCTGACAACAGGCGGGACAAGTTAGTAACTGCTACGGTAGTTAGCAGTAGGGCCGGGCCCTCCAACCATCTCTCGCTAAATCTTGCTACTATTTTGGGAATATCGACACTTAACAACACAACATATCAAGAGGATCGTCGACTTAGGGACCCTGACACAATCGCGCGACAAGGCTTGGAGAATCTGTATTCGAGCAAAACTTGAGGCCTTTAATGTATCCTGCCCTCCTAGTACATTGATCTCTAGCTCAACGGCAGTGAACATCAATCAACGCTGCCGCTCAAGAACACCCCAAGAACCCTATGTCAAGCTATACATCTAACCAAGTCTTCAATCCCCTTGCTTCATTCCCTGTATAGACGTTCATGCTAAAATTACTGCCTTCATGCTAACCTTTCTCCCTTCCCAACTACCAAAACCTCAAGCTCATACGTCAACAATCCGTTCCATTTAGTGTTACTTCTCCATGCACCAACCCCAAAGTACAAACCCAACCAGCAACTCAGCTCAAAAAGTACGAACAGGAGCCACAGAAGCGCAAAAACTTCTACGGAGGATGGGGAACGGGCCCCAGAGATGAAGAACCTTTAGGGGGAAGATCAGAGATTGTTAGATTATTCGGGCATGGTGGATGTGGGATATAGAGGGAGGAAAGGGAGTAAGGGTAGATTGGAATAATTGAGGGCAAGACAGCGACCATAGGTCGCCCACAAGCCAGAAAGTAACGACAATTCAATAAAAAGACGCCAGCCCGATGCAAGAAACAAAAAGATAGAGGATCATGCGAGTAGATGTGATTGGCCATAACATGATGAAGACCAAAGGCCCCCTCCCGCTATCCCCCTCCATTCCCAAGGATCATTGAAGAACCTCTTGAAACCGCAGTCCTGGTAAAGATATAAAAAAAATTGTCCTCTCATTCCAACGAGAGCCCTGCCTTCTTCCACCCCTCGGCCAACACGCTAACCGTGCCAGCCGCATCTTTGCAGCGCGCCGGTGCTCTGGCCGGGAGCTCGAGGATAGCACGACGCAGGACAGCGCGGGCGGGGACACCGTACTGGGCCAGGAATTTCTTGTAGTAGTCTCGGACGAGACCGGCGATGAGGGCAAAGTGGCCCGGGTAGAGATGGTCTGGCGGGGTGTTGCAGAGGGAGACGAGGGCGCGCCAGTACTCGGACATGGGAATGGCGGGCGCCTTGCCGTTGAAGGCGCGCAGGGACATGGCTGCGTAGCCGGCGCCCAGGCCGCGGAGGCGCTGACTGTAGGATTCGGTCGAGGGCGGGTTCTTGTCGATGAGTCGCCAGCCGAGACGGTCTTGTCCTTGGGCGGTGTCCATGGTGCCTCGGATGCCGAAGAGAGGGGGGCAGACGCGGTGGAATTTGGCGAGGACAATGTCCGAGAGGGGCACGCCTCTCCACATGTAATTGGGATCGGAGAGTAAACTTGCGGCGATGAGGCCAATCTCCTGAATGGTACGGCCATCTTCGCTCGCAGCTTCCTTCTCGAATTGCTTCAACAGAGACTTCTCGAAACAGATCCAGAGGTAGAGGAGGAAGGCAGGGTAGGCGGCTTCCGCTTCGTTGGCCAGGGGTGGGATCTGCTGCGAGATGATGTAGGGACGGATGTCGATCATGGGGCCTTGGGTTTTTAGTGCAATGTCGAAGCAATTGAGGCGGAGTCGCTTGATGGCTGCGACGCTGTCGGCACGCTCGGTCGTGATTTGGCCAAGACGAGTGCGGATCTCCCGTCGGGCATCGCCCACAGGTCCCTTTAGTGATGACGTCTTTTGCTTGTGCTTGTTCTGGAACTCGATGCGAAACTTCTTCATCTGGGCGTGGAGTTGGAGGTACCTTGCGTGAATCTGCTCGGCGTTGCTTACGGGCGCCTGTGATGCTGCCGGCTGTGGTGCAGTGGCGGATGTCTGTGTGGGCGCAGTGGTCCTCTGAGGTGCTGCTTGCTGTTGGGCGGCCTGCTGTTGTTGGGCCTTTTGTGTCGCAGCTGCAGCCTCGCTGGCCTTGCGATCTGCTTCGTCCTTCTTCTGCCTCTCTGCTGCTGCCTCTTGCTCTTTCTGTGCCTTTATGCGCGCCTCGGTCTCTTGAAGCTTTCTCTGGTGCTCTATAGCCTGTCGAGCTGCCTGCTCTTCGCGCTGCTTGGCTTCCAACGCCCGACGATGCGCTTCAGCTTCCTCCCGGGCCTTTTCTTCCCGAAGCCGCTCAATCTCGCGTTTCTGTGCCTCTTCTCGCCGAATGTTGGCCTGCTCTTGCTCGAGTGCGAGTCGCTCAATCTCCAGCTCCGCGCTTCGGAGCACCCTGTTATGCTCTTCTGCGGCCAGAGCCAGCTGCTCGGCATGGTGTTTGGCGCGTTCTGCGGCAGCCTGGTCCAGTTTCTCATTGAAATCTCGGTCAGATATGCTGAGGCGCAAGTTGAACTCGAGTGCTATTTGTCGAGAGGGACTGTCGTATGGATCTCGAACCAAGGACTCGCGGTGAGGATGGGTATTTCGCTGTGGGGATTGGCGTGATGGAGAGCCGCCGGCGAAGCTCGAGCTGAAAGAGGTGGCGGTGTGCATGCTGGCAGACGATGTGCCCGATCTGGCAGGCATTGTTGGTGTATCACAGGCGACTTTGGTGTGGAGCGCGAGCCAACGTGGTTGTTGAAGTCGCTGCTGTCTCCAGGTGGTTGGTGAGCGCGTCCTGTCTGAAAGAACATTGAAGCGGCGCTGGCAGGGGAGTTTAGAATTCGCCGACGCCCGACGCCCGACATCACGTGAGCACGCATATCCTGGTCCAGACTGTCCAGGCCAGGGGGGAGTGGGAGGGGAAACCTTTACAGTCGGCGGCCCGAGTCGCGCGCCTGAAGCGGCACTGTCCCTTCCCGCAACCGAGCTTTTGCAAGCTTTTGCGAGAGTCCATCTGGGAGCTTTGCTGCTGGATGACAAGTGTTGCCTAACAATCACTCGCATCCACAGCCCTACAGCTATGAGCTATGCTACAGTGCCTAGGTACCTCGTCCTCTATGCTAGGCATGTAATGAGCAGGCAGGCTTTTTTTCTCCCGTGCTACCTAGCGCGCCGTGAGGACTGTTGTGAGACGACCGTGGTGGTTCTTTGTATCAAAGAGACAGCGAGTCATGGAGCTCATCAAGATTCATGGATTCTGCCTGCTTGCAACGTCAGGTACCAACATCCACCTTTGTGTGCAGGAGATCGGGTTCGTCGCAAGGTGCATGCCAGACATGACAATGCTGGCCATGGTAGACTCCATGCCATTGTTGCATCTAGGTAAAAGGCCAGGCTGTGGTATGGTACGGTACGCTCCTGGCAACGTGCAAGAAGCGGCATCTCGATGCGGAAAAGAGACTAATGGACCAAGCATCATCGGAAGGAGTCCAGGACAAGGTTGGCCGCCCAACACTAGGGAAAATCAATACAAGATGCGACAATACGAGCCGAGCAGCTTGCTCGTGCTGTGCTGAGCCACTCTCCACTCTGCTCTCGACATGGGAGCCACTGCAGGGTTGGGTACATACCGGTAGGGCTTGCCCAGCTGCTGTCTTTGAAACCTACAAACTAAAACGTGACACCAATGCCGCGGCAGGCACTGGGACGCGCGCAGCCAACGTTTGTACTGTTACTGGGGTCCCTACCTAGGTACACAGTAAGGTGGGTAGCCGGGTTGAAGGGTTGATACTTTTATGAACCTACCTGCACAGTATGGGTACTGAGATGTTATGACTGAATTTTATAGAGAAGAGGCTGCCTGCTATAGTACCTTTTGGCCTGGCGATTCCCCCCTCCTGAATCCCCCCTTGACCTTGAATAGTGTACACTTAGTTGTTAACGACCGGTACCTATACGAGCTGCAACAAGAGCACCAACAACAGCACCAACAACAGCACCAGCACCAGCACCAGCACCAGTACCAACACCAGCAGGCTTGTGCAGGTGACGTACGTGTGCTTTGACCTCGTTTGCGGACAAGACTAAGACTGTAGCCGATCGCTTCCCAAAAGAACACAGAGGCCAAGTCCCGCTCGTAGCCATGGATGAGCACTACAAGACGACTCTGACATAACTCACCCATACTCTCTCTGTCTCTGTCTCTCTCTCCCTCTCCCTCTCCCTCTCCCTCTCCCACGCACACGCACACACCCACACTCTCCCTCTTGACCCTCCTTCGCCGTTCTTGTGCACCCTCCCGATCGCTCCCTCCTTCCTTCCGCCGCACTCACTCCATCCGCGTTTGTTGGCTTCCCCCTCTCCCCTTCCCCCCTCCTCCGCCGCCCGCCCACAGCAGCCAGCCCGCCCCAAGGGAAACCGCGCTCTTTCGTCTGGAACGGGCCCACGCCTGCCCCTGCACCATCAATCCTTATCACCATCATCAACACCACAACCACCACAACCACCGCCGCCGCCGCCTGTGCCTGCCTGTCATCTTTGTCACTTGTTACTTTTGCAAAGCATCACGTCCACACGCATCGCTCGTAGAGAGAGAGAGAGAGTCCTTTAGAAAAATATCGTCTTCAACTCCGCCCACGGCCTATCCAAGCCCCCGTTTACAACAGCAGCAGCGTAAGCTCCTTTGCCCTCCTACCCCCACTACCCAGCTAGCTAGTTCCCCCACGCCCGTGCTTAACCACCGTATCCGCCCCCCGCTTCGCAGCTTCACAGCTTCATCTTCCCCTGCACTTCACCGACTCGCTTAAAAATCCTGCGTCAAACCAAATGTCCATATAAACTAATCCTCCATCAGATTCCATCCACCACTTTTTCCGGATTCGAACAGCATCCCAGATTGGTCCCACTAACACTTCTGCGAACAGTACCTACCCACAACAGGCGGGCAAAGAGCCTCCTGCACCACACCATCTACAATGGACCAGCAGCAAGGCCAGCAGGGCCCCATGGGTCCCGCCGGTCGCCGTCTGCACATCGCGCATCGCCGCAGCCCTTCTGAGCTGACGCCTCTCATGAGTACGTTCTTCACCCGTGCAGCGACAATGTCCACGCTCAAAACAGTCACTAACATGCCTCTTCTAGTGGAGCAACTCGCTATCGCACAGCAGATCGAAGTCCTCCAGCAGCAACAGCAGCAAATCGCCGCAACACACCAGCAGTATGTCAACATGGGCATGATCCAGCCGCAGCAGCAGCTCGGCAACTTCCAGATGCCAGGTCAGATGCCAAATGTCTCGCCCCAGGTCAACAACTACCAGTTCGCCCAGCAGATGCAGATGCCCCAGCAGCAGCACCTCGCCGTTCCCATGAACGCTCCTGCCCAGCCATCCGCCCATCGCCGTAACCAGTCCGCCCTCCCCAACGTGGGCATGGGCCCGCCCCCAGCACCTTCATCGGGTGCGTCCGGTTTCGGTGAATTCGGTGGACAACAGGGAAACCAGGGTCGAGAGAACGTGAACCCACGCGGTCGAGGTGGTGGCGGCGCCGGTGCCTCTGGACACACGCGTCGTCACTCTTTGGCCCTCGCCGACGCCAAGAAGGCGGCTGAGCAGGCTGAGCAGAAGAGAAAGACTTCTGGCTTCCAGTTCCCCCTTCCTTCGGCGGGCGGTAGTTCAAATCGCGATGCTAGCCCTAGCGGCAACAGTGCTTCTAATGACAGCTCATCTACCCGTGGTGGACGAGGTGGTCACGGCCGCAGTCAGAGCATGGCTGTAGGACGCGGCGGCGGAAGCGCCGGCCGTGGAGGACCTGCCTTCTCTTTTCCCCAGGCTGCTGAACCAGCTGCTCCTGCCGCTCCGGCCCCGGCCCCGGCCCAGGCTGGTCAGACAGACTTCCAGCGTCGTGGCAGCCAGGGCCACGGTCGCAGTCAGTCACGCAACTTCGAAGGCAACTGGAGACAGCCACAAACCCAGGCCAACACCGCTCAACAGCAGTCGACTCCAGACAACCAAGCCCAAAACATGGGCAACTTCAACATGAATCAGACCGCCAATGCCCCTCCTTTCCAACCTGGACACCGCACCCGCGGATCCGTCAACCAGTCTGTTGGCACCCTTGGCAACTTTCAGTACGCTGGCCAGCAGCAGCAACAGATGATGCAGAGCCCACAGGCTCAGCTCCTGTTGCAGCAGCAGATGTTCGGCCAGCCCCTCAACCCTATGCAGATCGCCCACTTGCAGGCACTCCAGGCAGCCCAGATGGGAGGTGGCGGCATGGCTCTCAACCTCAGCCAGCATGCCGGTCAACCCCAGATGGGCATGCAACAACAGCAGCAGCAGCGCAAGACTTTGTTCACTCCTTATCTTCCCCAGGCAACTCTGCCAGCCCTACTCGGCGACGGCCAGCTCGTTGCTGGAATTCTCCGTGTTAACAAGAAGAACCGCAGCGATGCCTATGTTACGACGACGGACCTGGATGCTGACATTTTCATTTGTGGTAGTAAAGACAGGAACCGAGCCCTCGAGGGCGACTTGGTGGCGGTAGAGCTGCTCGATGTCGACGAAGTCTGGGGTCAAAAGCGCGAGAAGGAAGAAAAGAAGAAGCGCAAGGACAATGCTGACCCTCGCGGTGGTAGTATCGCCGTGAACGATGCCACCACTCAACCTGAGACCGGCTCTGAAGGTGGCATTCGTCGACGTGGCAGTCTGCGCCAGCGGCCCACACAAAAGAAGAATGATGATGTCGAAGTCGAGGGACAGAGCTTGCTTCTCATGGAAGAGGAGGAGATCAACGATGAATTGAAGCCTCTGTACGCTGGGCACATTGTCGCTGTCATTGAGCGTGTCGCTGGACAGATGTTCTCTGGGTAAGTTGACATGTCCATCCACACACCTATATCGAATGTTTGATTAGCTAACCCACTCAGATCTCTTGGACTTTTGCGTCCTAGCAGCCAGGCCACCAAGGAGAAGCAAGAGGCTGAGCGACAAGCCCGGGAAGGCCACTCCGGTCGCCCCCAGCCTGAACGTCAAGACAAGCCCAAGATTGTCTGGTTCAAGCCGACCGACAAGCGTGTGCCCTTGATCGCCATCCCCACTGAGCAAGCACCCCGAGATTTCGTCGAGAAGCACCAGGACTATGCCGACCGCATCTTTGTGGCATGCATCAAGCGATGGCCCATTACTTCCCTCCATCCTTTCGGTACCCTCGTTGAGCAACTTGGCGTCATGGGTGACCTTAAGGTGGAAACCGATGCTCTTCTCCGTGACAACAACTTCGGTCCAGACGACTTCTCAGATGCCGTTATCAAAAATGTTGGATTCGAAGACTGGACTGTCGCCAATGATGGAGAGGATGCCTTGAAGAATCGTCGTGATTTCCGCAATGAAGAGACTTTCACCATTGATCCCAACGGAAGCAAGGAGCTCGACGATGCGATCCATTTCAAGTATCTTGAGGATGGCCGCGTTGAGATTGGTATGCATGTTGCTGACGTTGCGCACTTCATCAAGGCCAACTCTCTCGTCGACCGTGAGGCCAAGAAGCGCGGTACAGCGGTATATCTCATGAACAGGACTGTCAACATGCTTCCACCCCGCTTGTCCAATGACATCTGCTGCCTCAACCCTGGCGAAGAGCGTTACACGGTCAGCATTGTCTTCAAGGTCGATCCCCAGTCCGGTCGTGTTTTCGAAGACGAGACTTGGGTTGGCAAGGCTGTGATCAAGAGCTCTGGCAAATTGTCATATGACGAGGTCGACACTGTTATCAACGGTAGCGACGGTGAGGTCACGGCTGCTCGCACCAAGGACATCAAGATGCTTCATCACATCACCCAAAAGTTTCGTCAGGCTCGTTTCGGTGGCCGCAGTAGCGATGTGCCGGCTCTCCGACTCATGTATCAGTTGGATGATGAGAACGTTCCGGTCGAGCAGAACATCTTCGATTCCTCGCCCGCTCATGAGTGCATCGAGGAGCTTAGCCATCTGGCCAATGCGACCATCGCCAAGAAGCTCGCTACTGGTCTGCCGGAGAAGGCACTTTTGCGCCGCCAGGCTCCGCCAAACCCTCGTCGTCTGACCACTATTGCTGAGCGCATGGGTGCTATTGGGTATGAGATCGATACCGAGAGCAGTGGCTCTCTCCAGAACAGCCTGTTCCAGGTCGAGGACGATGACATTCGCAAGGGAATGGAGACGCTTGTGATCAAGTCGATGCCACGAGCCAAGTACTTCGTCGCCGGTAAACTGCCTGAGGAGCAGTACCCACACTATGCCCTGAACCTTCCGTTATACACTCATTTCACCAATCCATCGAGGCGTTATGCGGACATCATTGTTCATCGCCAGTTGGAGGCCGTACTGTCTGAGGGTGCGATCGAATTCACCGAAGACATTGAGGTTTTGGCAAAGACTGCTGAGATGTGTAACACAAAGAAAGACTCGGCTCATGCCGCTCAGGAGCAGAGTGTGCACATTGAGGCGTGCCGCAAGATGGATAAGGCCAGGCAAGAAGCGGGTGGTGACCTGATTGCAGAAGGTATCGTCCTTTGCGTCTACGAATCCGCCTTCGATGTGCTCATCCCCGAGTGGGGCTTCGAGAAGCGTGTCCACTGCGACCAGCTTCCCCTGAAGAAGGCCGAATTCGACAAGAACAAGCGTCTGCTCGAACTCTACTGGGAAAAGGGCGTCCCTTCGTCTTCGTATATTCCCGAAGATGAGAGACCTAAGCACGGGTCCATCCGGGCTGCAAACGCCGCTGCTGCTGCACGTGAGGCAGAACAGGCCAAGCAGCGCGCCAAGGAACAGGAGGAGGCACAGCGCAGGCAGATGGATACCGGTACCATGCCCACCAACGAAGAAGCTGGATTGTTCGACGATGACGACGATGAGTCTGATTCTGGTAACCTCAACTCGGCCATGGCAGGCGTTTCTTTGAACCCTGACCGCCCTACCCAGAGCATGCCTCCCTCGCCAACCAGGCGCGAGCTGTCGAGCTCAGGCCCGCATCGCGTCAACTCTGATTCGAAGCTTGCGCAGAGCTCCAGCGAGACTCCCGAGGCCAAGCTGTCGAACAAGGAAAAGTACTTGAGCTGGTTCACCCTGCGTGAGGAGAATGGCGACTATATCCAGGATGTGCGTGAGATGATGCGTGTTCCAGTCATCCTTAAGACGGATCTGACGAAGAGCCCTCCGTAAGTTGATGTCCCGAGCGTAGTATTCAAAGTTTTATACTAACCATGTTGCCAGATGCTTGACCATCCGCTCCCTGAACCCTTATGCTCTCTGAGCTCCATGCTCCAACTCGAGCGCCCGGGGCATATTGTCGATAGTTAACATGTGTCTGATTGTTGGGAAGTTCAGTAGGTGTTGCTTGACTGGTATAAAATTGAGTGGTATGGATACATAATGGCCTGGCTGAATGGTAAAGAGACGAACAGACATGTGTATTGTTTTATGTGCATGCGGCGATGATATCGTTCAACCGCGATATAACGTTGTATGTGTTCATCACGTGAATAGTTCGTAGTACATGAATGTGGAACCCTCTTCTATGAGTTAGCTTCCACGGATGAGACCATTGATTTGTTTCTCATGGTTTGCATTGACATCAGTACACGCATTTCGGTACTGTGATTGTGCGCGAGCGACTTTGAACACCGGACCGAAGGGCTTCACGCTGACAGATGTTGGCTCCGTGATGCAAAACACGGCGAATGTTTACCCGATTGCTCATACATGGGTGAACCAGAGGTGGGCATGCCGGTCTCCGTGCTCTGAACTGACGCTCCCCTCCCACATGGTCAGCAATGGGTTCTGCGACTTTCAGGGACTGTAGCCCCTGTTTTCTACGCGAGCACTTGGTACCTGCATCTCTTACCCCAGCACGTATAGGCCTGAGGCTTTCAGGCGGCGGAAATGGCAGTGGAACTGAGCGAGACTTGGCGACCTGTCGATGTTTTGGATGCCTCGGCCACCTGTAAAAGCCCATTAATTAACCAACTGATTACCGGTACCCCCACACCATCAACTCGGAATTCCAAGCACCCGTGATAAGAATGCAAGCTCTCCCCCCTCATCAACTTTTCTCTAGCAGGATGAAGATTGCAACCACAATACACAAGAAGAGGCAAGACTGTCAAAGCCTTGGTATTCAAACGTTTACGATGACATGTAGACACTGTGGAAACATGCCCCCCACCACCGGCATCGTGAGAAGCAGCCTGCCTCGAGTGGTCGCCATGAGCCATGCAAAGCATGCGTACGGAAAAGCTACAAGCCGCTATGAAGAGCTATGCGCTATCTCTGTCAAGATGACCCACTTATGGGGCGGCTTCGAGATCTCCGTTGAGCCAGGCGTGTAGTGTTGGCACGTGGACAGTTTCAGCACGCCCTCTGCGCGTCGCAGACCCCCAGACCTGCCACAACACACGCCTCCAATATCAACCCCACCACAATGTTCGCGAACTCGCTCAGCGGTTGCTACGCTACTAGCAGGCTGTTCCTCGATGATCAATGGGCCATTGAGCCAAGCTGTAAAGCTTGAGTGGCCACGAATCGGGTAAGGAGCCCTGTGCGTGGCGGGAATGAGATGTCCGCCCCATCTGCTGCAAGCTGTGTACCTATCCGTCCTCCGACTATACTATGGCGTCTCAGATGCAGCACAGGAGCCACAGTACCCTTCTATAAGGTCCATTGGTTGCCCATCTTGTTTCCACTCTCGTTTTCTGTTCTACCACACCGAGCAGAGAGTTCTCTTCTACCCTTCTATTGTACTTAATACTCACTCCATCACACTCCTTACCAGTTCACTTCTTCACTCCTGTCCCTGGTTGGACCCCAAGAGAACTACTAATAATTATCAAATTCAAAGCGAGTCTTTGCTGGCCGTCTATCACTGGAGAAAACCACTCAACCAACAACATCAACACACAACTTAATCAACCAATATGCCGAGCGTATCAAGAATCATCCTGGGCCTTGCTGCCCTGGCACCATTCGCAGTCGCCGCCCCTACCATGCACATGGGTACTGCTGCGCCACCCGCAATAGTAGAGACCGCTGGCCCACCTGCTGCTGCTGAAGCTGCTCCAGCTGCCGAGCCAGCTGCAGCAGCAGAGGGAGCTCTAACGGATGTTGACATTCTGAACTTGTGAGTAAAGGAAAAAAATAGGGATTGAAGCAGTGGCTAATATACTCAGTGCGCTTACTGCAGAGCACCTCGAATCGGAATTCTACAAGCAGGGCTTCGCCAAGTTCCCCATGGCTGACTTCATGGCACTTGGTCTCACTGAGGGTCAAGTCAAGTCTCTGATGGGTGTTGGCCAGACCGAGGCAACCCATGTTACGACTCTCCAATCCGCAATTGCTGGAGCTGGCGCGAAACCCGTTGAAGCGTGCGAATACAACTTTGACGCTGCCCTCGCCAGCGCCGATGCCATGGTCAAGACTGCACGTGTTCTCGAGGCCGTTGGTATCTCTGCCTACCTCGGAGCTGCTCCCCTCGTCAATTCCTCCGATATTCTCTCGGCTGCTGCTTCCATCGTCACGGTCGAAGCTCGCCACCAGGCTTTCATCCGCTCCGCCGCTGGCGCAGAGCCCGTCCCTGCTGCTTTCGACACTGCTCTTCAACCCCGTGCGGTCTTCACCCTGGCTGCTGCCTTTATCAAGTCCTGCCCCGAAGGCTCCAACCTCAACATCCAGCCCTTCCCCGCCATCTCGCTCCAGAACCCTGAGCAGGCAACCGTCGGTCAGGCACTGAAGTTGGCGGATCCCGCTCAGCCTGCTGGTGCTTCGTTCTGCGCTTTTGTTGCTCCGTAAGTTTTTCCACATGGTTGGTCGCCACGAGCATGGTACTAATAAGCAATAGTGCTGGCACTCAATTCACGACCATCACCGATGGCAGCTGCATGGTTCCCCAAGGTCTCCAGGGCGAAGTCTACATGATGATCACCAAGTCTGAGGCCGTCACCGACGCTGAAGTCCTCGCCGGACCTTCTGTCATCCAGCCCTCATAGTCGTCTCGTTTGGATGGCACGACAATAATAGAGCACTGGCGCCACCGCAGTAACTTCCATTCTGTCATCATCTACGCATGGAGCATCATCGGCGCATGCTACCACAGAAAAATTATCCATGGAGAGATTATAGCGAGCATCAGGCACAGGAAGATGGGGCACGGCGCGTTGAGCGAGCGAGCCATGTATGTGCATAAACGAACAAAAATTGCCTTTCTTCTTCTACAGTCGTTGAATACAAGCATTGATCTCTCAAGGGACATTTTTATTTTCCTTTTCTCTTCCATTTCCTGTTGTGTTGCAGTCTAAGTGTTGTTTTTGTGGTGGAGCTTCAACACAGAAGATACCCCTTTTGGTTTTTGGCATGAAATGGAGTAAGTAGATCATGATGCCTTGGAGAGGTTCAGAGAACAGCTCCTTGAGCGTAATAACATTCAATTTGAAGTGTACAATATCAGCCCCCCCAAAAAAGACATTTGATGATTTCGACAAGGGAACTGCGAATTGGCTGACCGGTGCAAGGAAGACGATTACATGTGACAAGTGCATACAGCAGGATGAGTATCAGTTTCGCATTATTTCGCTCGTTTGGGTAAGGCGCGGAACAGGCTTGACGTGCAAGGTGGAATGCCGCCACCACATACAGACAATGCTAGTCTTTGCATGTTTGTACTACGCTGGATTGATGACTCTTTTGCCTTGATCTCGCAAGCTCATCTACATGCAGCTCGAATCATCACTGTCCTCCTCGTTGTGAACAGCCGCATGTCGGACCGTCAGGTTCACAGGCAACTGCGGTCCGCCTGCCGAGCCATAGGCAACCGAAGATCACCCGAAAGTTACCTCCTCGCGAATGGCTCTTCGACGTCAGTGAGCGTTGATTGGGTAGAGATTGGCTGCATTGTGGGGTTAAGAGAGACTGTCAGGTTGGACAAGCTCTTTGCCGTGCATGCTTCGCACTTTTTCTCCACACTCTGCAGGAGACGTGTGGGACTAAAGGGAGAAGAGAAGTATAAGAGATGTCTCGCCCATTTTGCATTGTTGCGGACTGAGCTATGTGAAAGAATACCCACCTACTGATGTCATATCTGTCTCATCGACTTTGACGGGAATGCGCAACTAAGTACAGGGTTTCGCCATACTCATTACTGGATATCCAAAAGAGTAGTCGACAACAAGTTCAATCTTTACAAACTTCCAACATCACCACGACCTCCAACCTCAATCGCCGAACCACAATGGCGATGACACAAAACGGCACTTCGTCTACCTGCGTAGTCGAGCAGCCCATCGAACTTCAAGATGTCTCCCACTACATCAGTACTCCCCCGATTGCCAAGGTTCCGGCCCTGCATATCTCAGATAGCAAAGGCGTCCCGGACGACGATCCCGTAGAAAGCCTCCCTTCACCAACTACCCAAGCTGCTGCAAAGCTGGAAAGATGGAACGCCCCACGCTCAAATCTCTATAGGACGTTGGCGGCTTTTTGGAGTTTTGTGGTAATGGGGAGTAACGATGCTGCGTATGGTGCTTTGATACCCTATGTACGTGCTGTACTCCACCTCCGCCCTTTGTCCTGTGTGAGGGGGACATCTACGGTGCTAATACTCGATTAGTTACAAGAATACTACCATCTCACCTTTGTAGTCATATCGCTAATATTCCTGTCACCACTGGTGGGCTACACGGCCTCTGCCCTTCTCAACAACACCATTCATCTCAAATTTGGACAAAAGGGTGTTGCAGTGATTGCACCGACATGCCACTTACTGGCCTACATTGTTATTGCCGTACACCCACCATATCCCGTCCTGGTCTTCATTTTCAGTAAGTGTAAAATACGATTCGCAACAGCCACGGTCTACAAGCTGACTCGACTACTCAGTGCTTGCTGGTTTCGGCAACGGCCTCGCTGATGCGGCATGGAATGCTTGGATGGGCAACATGGCGAACCCAAACGAAGTCCTGGGTTTCCTACACGCATTCTACGGCCTCGGTGCCGTGCTATCGCCGTTGATTGCAACGACCATGATCACCAAGGGTGATCGATTGCCCTGGTATTACTTCTACTACGTTATGGTATGTTGCCATCCCCCCCATCCAGTCTCCCATCCACCCCAACCAACAACATCCAGATCGCCATGGCAGCCATCGAACTCGTCACCTCCACCACAGCCTTTTGGCACGAAACCGCCGCCGTCTTCCGCGCCGCCAATCCCCGCACCGGCATATCAAAAGATAACCGCATGAAAGAAGCACTTGTGCGTCTCCCTTTTGCCCGCGTCACCTGGCTCATCGCCGTCTTCCTGCTCGGCTACGTGGGCATTGAGGTCGCGCTCGGGGGCTGGATCGTCAAGTTTATGCTCGAAGAGCGGGATGGCGAGGATTTTGCAAGTGGCATGACGGCCACGGGGTTTTGGATGGGCATCACGGTCGGGCGGATTGTATTGGGGTTTGTGACGCCGAGGATAGGCGAGAAGTTGGCTATTGCTGTGAGTATTTTTTTTTCTTTCGTTCAATCCCTCCAAGTTTCAACTAAACTACACACCCTCCCACACACCCTCCCACCCACTACATCTATCTTAACCCCCTCCCCTCCCCCGCACACACACAAAACCAACAATCTAACCCCCCACAAAATAAAACAGATCTACCTCCCCCTAACAATGGCCCTCCACCTCATCTTCTGGCTCGTCCCCCACTTCCTCGTCTCCGCCATCGCCGTCTCCCTCCAAGGCTTCCTCCTCGGCCCCCTTTTCCCCGCCGCCGTCGTCGCCGCCACAAAATTACTCCCCAAACACCTGCACGTCAGCGCCATTGGCTTTGCCGCTGCTTTTGGCGGCAGCGGCGCTGCGATTTTTCCTTTTGCAGTCGGTGCTATTGCGCAGGCTCAGGGGGTGCAGGTGCTGCAGCCGGTTGTGCTGGCGCTGTTGGTGGTGATTTGGGGGCTTTGGGTTGCGTTGCCGCGGCTGCATCGGAAGGTTGAGTAGGGTGGGGAGGGGGTGGGATGGGAATGGATGGGATGAAAGGGGATGGGGAGAATGTAATTGCTTCCCTTCTTCGTATGTCTTTGAACCATGACTAGGACTCTACCCCTCCCTCTCCACCCTCTAAATTTCCCAATTTTTTTTTAAGAAAAAATAATAATCTCCCCGATCAATCTCCACTCCCACTCCCACTCCTCCACCTCACCCAACAAAAATTCAATCTCTCCCACCGCCTTATCCCAGCCCCTTAGTTCAACCCCACATCCACCCACACCAACCCCGCACTCCCCATCCCAAAAATCTGCGGCGCGTGGGTGATGTTTGATGGGGGAGAGCGAGGGGGAGATGCGGGTTTGAGGGGGTTGGTTGTTGGGATGGGGATATAAAGGTTTTGGTTATTAGGATGTGTGTTCAAAGTCTCTGATATTGAGAGGTATATTCAAAATCTCAGAATATATAACAACCAAAAAAACCCCCATGTCCCCAGACAAACCGAGCAAACCCACGGCAGGATTGCTCAAACGGGCCAATACCAATATACATGTACACCCTTGACACGAAGAAGATTCTTGTGTTGAAAAAAATAATTCCCGCAGATTTTGTTGAACGAAGTAGCAAAACGGCGTCGTGTTAATCATTCCGTGACATGGACATGTCTTGGACTCAATGGCCAGAGTCCCCAGGACTAGCCTTTCGGTCAAGGACGTCTCTCTGCAGGTCTTGCGACATTTTGCCGTCGGTCCAACTGGCCATTGTATCGCGCGAGGGCGTGTTATCGCGCGACTCGCCATGCGTCGAGTGTTTATCCTGCGTAATAACCTCTTCGATACCCTGGGCCTGTTCTCCCGAGGACGAGGCAGGCTCGTTGGAGAAGCTAGCGACGTGCTTGAGCGCCTGTTGCATAGCCACGGCCGCGACGTTGGGGCGTTCGACTTCGGCAGCGAAACCGGGGTCCTCTGGGGGTTTGAAGAGGGCGGCCTCGTGGTCGTCAAAGTCCTGGCCGGGGTTGATGGTTTGGTATTCGACGAGGGTGACAATCTTGTACATGGCGAATGCGAGGAGGGTGCCCATGATCGGCCCGAACCAGTAGATGTAGTGGTAGCTGGGGAAGTTGAGGGTGACGACGCAGGGTCCGAAGCTGCGGGCGGGATTTAGGCTGCCTCCGGTGAAGAAGACGCCGACGAGTTCGGCGACGAAGAGGGCTAGGCCGATGCCTACGGGGGCGAGGAAGGTGGCTTTGTGCTTCTCGGCTGCGAGCATGACTGGAGAATGTGTTAGTAAATGTGTCTCATGTGTGTACAAACATTGAAAAGTCGGTTCCTTGGGAGATGGCAGAAAATCATCAAGGGGCAGTGTTTGGTGTTGTAGTCATCGTAAGATTGTCCAGGCTCAACTTACTACGGGCTTGTTAGCGAGATTCAGCCAGTGTCGTCATGAGATCTACTTACCAGATTGTGAATACAAGAAGGGATGTAAGGAACATCTCCAGGAATACACCACGCGCCGCTGAAACACCCGCACCGAGTGTTGTTGAAACATTGAGAGGCCCAGGTAATATAGCCTGCACTACAGCAGCAGCGCAGATTCCCGCGAGCATTTGTGCGATGAAACACAGCGATGCACGAACAATTCCAATAGCTCCAATGAGGTAAAGACCGAGTGAGACCTGACATGCGATATTAGTTTCTGTCCTCTACAAATTCGGACCCCCTCCTGATCCTTCAGAAGCAATCAATGACTTACAGCCGGGTTGAACAATCCTCCACTAACTCGAAAGAAGACCCACACGTTGACCATCAAGCTGAATCCGAAGATCAAACTGATGTACAACAGCACACCTGTATTTGGCGCTTGACTAATACTATTTGATTGCTGGCCAGCGGTGGCTGCATCACTGAATGTCGCAGCCGTATTGGCAACAGAAGTCCCACCAAAGGCAAAAAAGAGGAACATGAAGGTTCCTGCAAACTCAGCGACCATGGCAACCAATTCGTTTCGCCATTTGTTCGTGATCCAAGTGTGCCTTCTGTGTGCATGGTGGTGGTGGAGATGGCGATGCTGACGTCTTGATGTGTCTTCGCTTTTCGTTGGCTCGCTGGGCGATGATTCGGTATCCTTCTTGTGCAACGGCAACACGTTCCGAGGCGCCATATTTGCGTAAGATTTTCGACAAAACGGCAACAGTAAGTTCAAGTTGCGATAGAGAGGTCCAAAGTCCAAGGAGATTTTACAGTGTTCAAATCCAAGCGCGGCAGACTACGACATAGACAAAGGGGTCCGCTGGTGGCTGAGCCTAAAACGGGGAGACGAACTCCATACGTGCTGCGTGACGTCTTGATGGGAAAAGCGCCACCAGCGTCGGCGATGTTCAGTGCATCCGCATACACTAGGCAAGACGCATCGTGTCAATGTACAGCCTTGTGCAAAATGCAGGATCGTAAAACCTTACTGCTGAACAGCTCCTGGCAGTGCTGTGAGCTGTGACTTGGTCATACCCAGCGATCATCAGACTCTCCGGTTTCGACATTTTGATTGCACTAAGAGTCATGTAACTCATGAATTCTTTTCCACAGTGTAATCTCCAAGGAAATCTGGGTGGTATTCAGCCCGTTAAGCTGAATACTTTGAATTCGTGGTTCGACGTCGCGACGATGGAGAGAAAAAGGACTAGGATACAGATCGACGCAGGGTTGGCGTAAAGGCTAGTGAAATGATGTCATGCTCCGAAATGCCGTTGACCCCGATTGGGATGACAAGAAGGCTGGCGAGCCACGCCAAAGCAATCCACAGACGACCTAAAACCGCCACGTCCGACTAGAACTCCATATTTGCTGGTCGAGTGTCGTCAATTGCTGAGTAGATTGGCCGAGATAAGAGTCTGTGCTGCGTTTGACAGATCGAGTGAATCCGGCGGCTGGTCCTTCAATTAAAGAAATACTCTCTCGCATGTGCGATGTTGACGAGGTTGATGCTTGTCGAGACCAACGCAGATGGCCTTTTCAGAGGAAAAAATATACCGGTGGTGGGTTTGAGGATACTACAATATTTCCATCCTATACTTTAGGTCATACACAGGACTTCAGAAGACCATAGATTGACCCCATCTCTGGCTTAGCAACCCACCCCTCTCACAGGTACTCCGCATCTCGGATATAATCGCATCGTGCCTTGACGATCCCTTCACGCTTAGTGTTGGCTCGAACCACGCAAATCCCAAGGCTAATCGTCACGGGGCAGTTCTATGCCCGAAACTCGTCGGTACCGTGTACGTGAGCGCATCACTGCTCACCCCATGAACCTACTTTCCCAAGCTTGGATCCGTTTTCAGAAAGAACAATTCTCGTTCAGGTCGTGCTAAAGATTTTAGAGTACGGTAGGGAATCCAATTAATTGTCGGCTACGGTAATCTACTACACGTGGTGGACACGCACCTGTCAAAGATTGCCCGTTGGTCCCTTGCCGATTAAAACGCCAACTATTCTTGCATTTCAATCGAAAAACATCACGCATAGCCGTTCGATACGGGGCACATGGATGAACATCACAGCTTTCACATATGAAAGGATCATCCTCATCTCCACTTTACGCCTTTCCCCCTCCCTTCCCCGCACCCCCAACCTTTCCCACACCACCACAATTACCTCATTCCCAACCAATTCCATCCATAAATCCCCCCCCTAAATCCCCAGACCCCATGCGATTTAACCACGTCTCTCACATGTCTCGCACGGGCCTTCACTCATGATACTCACCCAGCGTTTTCCACAGTCCGTTGCAGTAGCGCATTTCGCTCAAGTGGCTATATGTGAGCGCCTTGGACCCTTGAGCCTTGTTCTTATCTGCTTGATGATGAGAGAATAGGCTTATGACTGCGATATGAATATTATTGAAGTCACACATGTTCTATCTATCCGTCACTATGCAGTCGTGAACATACACACATCATCATAAACCAGCCGCAAGCAACGTTTACGAAGAGCATTGCTCCCAGTATCGCAGAGCCATGGAGGGTATCTACCCCAAATAGTCCTCCCCTCTCCTTCTTCCATGTGCACTATGTAGTATATCTATTTTTATCTCCCAGCTACGTCCTCACCGCTTATCCCAAGGTCTGCTCCCTATACGCCAACCGCCTTCGCTGCAAGTACGACGGGTGCGCTGGCATCTTCTGCATGTATTTAATAAGGATAGCGGGTGTGTAGGTGTACGAGTCATACTCCCCACTTTTCAAACCCAGAGAAATAGCGAGAGAGAAGATGCTACCTCAGTAACACTGCTAGACAACAAAAACACCAAAAACAGACATCAAGGCAAAGTAAACGTATTTCTATTCATAAAATAGCTCAATAATCGTGATAGCTTTCGTTCAGCATAGAGTATACCGTAGGCGTGACACTAATCGACTGGTCCCACAATTCCACTCCCCCTCCGCTGCGAAGCGAGAAAAGTGGTGGAGAAGTGTGGGGGTGGAAGGCGGGTGTGGTGAAGAGGAGAGTCGGAAAATTGCCTTGGCGAATGCATGTCCTGGCCAAGGAGAAAGAGGAGAAAAAAAAGTGACGACCCAAAATAAACGCCTTGGTAACATGATAATACCCATCTCCATCCAACCAGTTAAATCCCTCACCCACCAAAGAAAAAACCAAAAAAAGGGGAAACTGTCCTTTCATCACCACCCCATTCCTCCGAACCCCAACTCAAAACAACCTCAACACTTGCCACTCAACACCTCAAAAATACCCACAACACCCACATCCTCACCCAAACTCGGTCTCGGCTCCAGCACATCGAGCCCAAGCCCAAACACCTGCCTCTCCTGCTGCATCTCAAACTCGATGACGCTAGGCTTGTGGCGAACGGCGAGGAGCTGGCGGATCGAGGCAGCGGTTGTCGAAGTGGAGCGGTAGCTGTGGGGCGACGAGTTGCGGGTGAGGGGCGAGGTGGTGGATGTGCTGGTGATGGAGGAGGAGGAAGGGGAGGCGGAGCGCAAGGAGGTGCGGGTTGGGCTGAAGGCTGTGCGGAGGCGGCGTAGGGAGGAGGTGTTGCTGCGGAGGGGGGTGAAGGATTGGAAGCGGTTTGTGCGGCTGGGGGAGGAAGGCATGGTTGTGTGGTTGGGGTTGTTCTTTGGGTTGGGTTGAGTTGGTTGAAAGGTTGGTGGTTGATGTGAACGGGAGAATGTAAGGTTGTTGGGTTCGTGGGTGTAAATGTAAATGTCCGTGGAGGCCGGGTGGTTTAGATTGGATCCCGAGTCCAGATGTGAGAGAATGTGTGTATATGAGTGTGTGTGTGTGTGAAGTCGCGTAGTAAGATCCAGGCGATGGCAGTCGAGGGTAAAGAGTGAGATGACGCGCTTCAAGTAAGCTTGCTGACAGACTATCGTGCGTAAGAACGACAGGAGTGATGTGGTTGGCAATACAGATTCGGCTTGCAAGTCAAACCGACGGATGCTTTCGGCAGGTCTGACGTGATTGTTTAAAGCCGACAAACTCTCTTACTTCTGTTCCAGACGATCGGGTTTTCCCCCGTCGTAGCAATTCGTCGTCTTTCGTAGATTGTCGTTGAGGCAACAAATGATCCTCACTCGGAGAACAATCGGGAGTCGTGGTATTGTGTAGTATGGTAGGAAGTACGCAGAGTAGAGTATGGCCAGCAACAACGAAGCGTCAAGCCCCGAACGTCACTTGAAGAAAACCGTCAAGGTGTAAAGGAGTAAGTAGGTAAGGTGGTAGGTGGTATACGAGGTTATGTAAATGAAAGTATCCCAAGGGCCGATAGTCAAAAGACCAAAGAGAGAGAGAAGAAGAAAAAATCTGCTTGCGCGTGTGTCTAAATAAAAAGGATATGGATACCCACACCACACAGACATGCACACAGGCCCCTTTGCTAGCTTTAGTTGCCTACGGGTCTGGCTGCGAGGGCACCATGCGTTGTTGAAGGGCTGGAGTGTCGTGCTGGGCGTGCTGGAACGAAATCACGGCACTGGTGGTGTCGGAACAGCCGTGACCCCTGCAGCAGCAAAACCCAAGGAACGCGTCGAGTGAGGGGGCTGAGGTTCGGCCTGTCTTTTGCTAGGCGGCCCCATGTTTGATCGCCGCCCCAGGTGGAAAAACAAGCGAGCGGGTGAGAAAAGGGTGGACTGTTTGAGCATTTGCTTGCCGCGGATTAAGTGTCCAGATTGCGTTCGTTTTCCTCATTGCTGGAGGGGGTCGATGGGGAGGGAAGGGATCAGGTGTGGGATATTACAAGTACCAGACGTCCATGTAGTCTACCGTATGGTAAGATTGCCAAGTATCGCAACCAAGTCTACCGCCGTATACGTACACAGCATCTACCTTGAACTCTTGTCATCCCTCAGGAAATTGAATATAGCACACATACTTGGATAGGCACCTTGATGGAATTCTTCCTTCAAATCTCGGCCAAATAAGCACCCTTTCCCTTCCCTCCACTCTCCACTCCACTCTCCACTCTCCACTACCTTCATGCAATGCTCAATTGATTGGTACCACACACTCCCCATCCCATGCGTCCCCCCTACCAAAGAAGAGGAAAAAACACGCAGCTGCAGCAGCAACGCGTCTCTGCCAATTCAACACTTACCCACCCAAATTAGCTTGCGCGCCCGCCCTTCCCTTTGCTGCATGCATGCGAGCAAATACAATGGTATCACGGTATACCACGCCATGATCCATCCACACACACCTCAACCCACCTAAACCTTCCTCCTTCCTCCTGATTCCTCCTCCGGTCTCGACCGCGCTCATCCACCGCGTGTCTGTGGCCAATTCCTTCAGAGCAAGCACGGTCGCGTCTGCTCGCTTGTCCTCCTCGCTTGCCCCGAAGCCGTCGTTTGCAAGAGAGAGAGAGAGAGAGAGAGAGAGAGAGAGAGAGCTGATCACCAGAAGCCTCCGCTGCATTCACTGCATTCATGAGACAAGTCGCTTGCGCAAGAGACACACAGCTTGTTGCAGAACTTGGGACGGAACCTGTACAGAAATGAACTGAGTCGGACTGTTGGATGATGTTGCTTGGGGCTAGGCGTGTCCGGGCTGGAACGAGTTGTTAGCGGGTTAGCGGAGAGCGGGCATGCATGTGTGTGTTGGTTTGTGTGGGTGCTAGTGTTGTGACATTGGTGCGCTAGTGTTTCATGGTGCTGGACCTGTCTGCTACCTGATGTCCTTATGGTGGGTGGGTGTCAAGTGTCAGCGTTGGCCGTGGATGCTGGGTGCGGTTGTTCAAGGTACCTAATTGATACGGTACCGGTAGGTGGGGTGGGGTTGTGCGTTGTACGTGTACTTGACTTATAGGCAGGATACACATGCTAGTTACTTGTCGTACCCAACTTGTACCGGTACACGAGTTGAATGCTACATCTACCAGATAGGCAACTAACAAGACAGATACTCAACAGACAGAGCAACTACCTACATAGTACGCCCACGAAGCACAATTTCCGCAAATCCAAAACTCCACACATAAGCAAAGTCCCCCTACGTAAACCCCCCTCGTGACCACCTCTAAAAAGAGCATGACAAACCAAAGATGATTCTACCTTCTATTAACACGCCATTTACCATGCTATGCACACATATTCAAGCCGATTCCTCCAGATTCGGCCGCTCATGCTCTTGACAATACTTGACACACATGTAGTCAGCCAACCAACCAGCCAATCCAACCAATCCACACATACCACACACCGCACATCTATCCCATCTCGACTGCAAACGCCAGATCCAGCCTCTCGTACACACATCCACACACTCCCAACACCTGTCTGTCTCCCCCACACTCGCCGCCACTCCAAAGAAGACAAAAAAAGATAACTACGTACTCGCCGCGACCCCCCCAACCCCGTCAATCACCGGCTAATTATTCCGGGCTCATATGTGCCACCTTCTCTCCTCAAACACTTCATGCAACGGGTTTGCCCCCCCCCTCACCCCCTCGCCTTCTCCCCCGCGCCCAAATAACCGCATTCGTGTGCGCATCAATGGAACTGTTGACCGTCGATGTGTTTGAAGATTGCGGAATGCTCAGCAGATGGCTGAGGGATGATGACTGATAGCTGATAGCTGATACCGGTAGTTCATGACTGATGACCCATGGCCGATGACCTGATGACCTGACTCTCCGCATCCCTTCCCCAGACCGTTGATCCTGCACTACACTGCCCTGCCCATCATTCCCCCAAATCCTGCGAACGCCCGATCCCTCTCCTCGCAGTTGTGCAGGCCTTTTTTTCGGCCTTGCATTTCCCAAGGCCGACATAGTGTTGTTACGTAGTGTGCTGTATTGTGCCGTGTATTTCGAGACTTGGAATACCAGATTTGCCTTCCCATCATGCCATGCTGCATCGCTGATGCCATCTGTGGATCGAATTGGCCTTGACTCATTACTTCCTCTTTTTTCACCTGCCATCTTGGCCGTCTATTTGGCATTGTTGGGAGCGGGGGCGTATGGGAAAGTGCACTAATCTCCAGCTCCTGGCTTCCTTCCTTCCCCATCCTTACTTGTCTTCCTCCCTAACCCTATGCCCAGAAGGTTATACCATGGGCAGAGACATAGACATTGACACTGACATTGACACAAAAGAAAAATCTGCACTGAAATGACCTCCCCAAAAAAAGGAAACGACACGACGATCACCAAAAAGGAAAAAGGATAAAAATAAATCAACTACGTCGTCGCTGCGTAAAGCTCCTTCTGATACTCTCACCCCATGCAGAATTATCCAGCACTTCCAAAACATCTGCTGCACTGACGGCGCTGCTTGCCCTGCTGCGACTGTCTGCACCGTGACCGCCTGGGTCCGGTTCCAGAGGACTGGGTGGCCGACTGAGCGCAGTCGCGAACTGCCAATCACTGCCATCGGCAGCCGAGGCAAATGGCGATGTGGACGGCGTTGCTCTTGTAGGTGAACCCTGTGGTGTTTGTTGAATAGAGTTGGCTCGACTTCTCGCGGGGCTGGTGTCGAGATGATCGAGGTTCGGAGGGGTTGGCACGTGTGCTTCTGAAGCACGGCGGTCCGGGGCGTAGAGATCTTGTGGGGAGAAGATGGGGCTACTGTTGCCAGATTGTTGGCCTCGTTGTGCGTCGGTGATGTCTTCGTCGTCGATGAAGATTTCTGGAACGGTGAACTGCGGGATGGCGGTCATGCGGCCTTGTTTCTTTTGGTCCATGGCACGGCGGAAGCGGCGGGCCCAGTATAAGGTGTCGAAGAAGCCGACGACGACGTTGCGACGCACCGCTTCTTGGACTCGTTGGAGACGTGCTCGGCGACGTAGGAATTCTTCAAGTCTGTGGGGATGTTAGAATGCCGCCCCTACCTGGACAGAGTGCATAACGTACCGCAAGCTCTTGTTGTCGTTGATGACCTTGTGATGGGCCAAGATGAGCAACAAAGAGGTGAATTGAATACCCTTGTCAGGATCGCTTGACACAAGAACCTCTTCGTAGAACATGTTCATGCGCTGTCGACGACGCCGAATATCACTGATTGGCATCTGGGCCAGGACACGGTTGAGCTTCGCAATGTCTATCTCCGGCGTTGGCTCGCGTTGTGACATGGGCAGATTGGACGCTCGCCGGCTGGGTACTGCACACTGCTCTATCAACCTGCGAACCGTGAAGTCGCCATCGTAGATGCGCATCTCGAAAATACCAGACAGTTCCTTGAAAAATATTAGCCGTGCTCATCACGGACCCTTCGAGATTGACTTACCCCAAGGAGCCTCGGGAACACATCCCGAGAAATAAAGCCCGTCCCATTAGGATCGAACTCGGCCCAGGCTTGCTTGAAGCGACGAATTTCCTCTCGACTGATGACGGACAAGCCACTGCTTCGCTGATATACGTAACTGAAGCTCTCGTAGATTAGAGAGACAAACAAGTTGACGAAAATGTACATGCTCAGTATGTTCCAAGTGATGAAGAGCGCGCGCGCCCACTCGGGGCTACCACAGTCGCTCTCGAAGTAGATGGCACCGACTGTGCAGAAAGGTTTGTCCACGTTTGCAAAGTCTTCCATCATCTCGTTCCAACCTTCGCCCATACTCATCGTGAAGAGGAAAATGAGCGCCTTGGGTACCGTCCTGAAGTTTTTGTTTCCAGTTTCATTTGGACCAAACCGAGTAAGACCAAAAGTCTGGGTGAGGGCGATGGCGTATACCAAAAAGAGGACGAACCAAGTCGCAAGAAGGTTGGCAATTGCTGCCAAACTCGCTGCAGCGGTCTTGAAGAGCTGATCGAGTTGGTTGTTCCGGGGAATGAGAAGCAACGCGATTGATACAAGACACAGCTTATGTAATTGAACAAAAACCCTGTCTCCGTCCCGGGCAAGCACGAGGATTGACGTGATGAACGTTCCTGTGACCGCGAATATGGAAAACATGTCCCATGTACTCTTGCAGAACCGATGCCACGAGAGGCCAATGATGCGAATTACCACGTTGGCGATGAAGACGATTGTGAGGGTGAGGAAGATGTAATCTGCGTCGAGTTAGTATATATATCATACATACAACAGACAGTATTACCCCTAGCCGTCTCCCAGCCATCATAACCTGGATACCATTCCAAACACAGCAACAGAAGATGAAATACGAGAACCCCAGTAATTGACCTTTGCCAACGTCCAGTTTTGCGAACAGCGCGGCGGTAGCACCATTCTTCCCAAGTCTCTCGCTGTTTGGTAGAGGAAGGGCGTTTGGAAGGGGAAACCTGACGCAAGAGCTTGCGCAGTTCTAGCCAAGATCGCTGGTCCGTCGTGAGAAAAGCCACTCCCGTCTGCTCTGTGTAATTGCGCATGAATACGGAAACAAAGAGTGTCAACACAAATACAGCACCGAGCAAGTTGAAAATGATGAAGTATACAGCGTTCCCCTGCGCGGCATAAGGTTGAGGTTGTGTGAAGGTCCCTGTAATACTCATCCCAGACCACATTACGTCCGTCCAGCCTTCCTGCGAGACAATCTGGAACAAAATGAACAAAGAGTTACCAAAGTTGTCAAAATCGTAGTAGGGGTTGGCTGCTTGACGGGGAGCTAGCACATTCCAGTCAAAGGGTGAGCTGTCAAACTCGCCCACGCAATCTCTGAGGTCGGTGATGCTGGAGCCGTTATCATTACAGGCTTGCATCTGGCCAACGAAGAGGTTCAGTCCATAAATAGCGAATGGGATCAACAAGCTAAGAGAGACAAAAGCCGCCTATTTGCGTTAATCTATTGAGCCTGTATTACCAATTATAGACTTACAGAAAAGAGTTTCCACCACCCTCGCATGATCAACGAGTGAAAATTGTCTCGAGCACTGTCGCTGATATTGAGTAGCCGAAGAGCTCTCAGAGCTTTGAAGGCTCCTACGGTTCTTGTGATCTGACCCTCGTTGAGGAACGAAGTACCGACGTTGATCCAGAGAGTGATCAATACAACGCCGTCGATGAAGCCCCAAGATCCTCGAAAGTAGGCGTTGGGTGTCCAGAAGGCGCCGTCCGCAATCACCTTGATCAATGCTTCAACAGTGAAAAGTATGGCGAAACCCATGTCCACCCAGACGAACCAGTTCTTAACGCTGAAATTATGCTCCATAAAATACTCTCGTTGATACAGCGGAGTAGTCACGCAAGCAAGAAGGACCATGGCAATAATCGCGGCGTAGATGAATGCGGAGAAGGCGTACCAAATAGGCACAGATGGTGCTACACCTTCGATACGGTCGCCACCACGGCCAGGACCGACGATACGCTGGCAAATCCTGCGAATTGGATTGTGCGGTCTGAACATGAACAACGTGACGTTATAGTTGGGGTGGTTTCGTAAGTATTCACGCTGGGCTTTCTTTCGCTTCTCAGTTGCGCTGACAACTTCCTTGGCCATACGCCTAGGATCCATGTCCTCGTATGCACGGCCAAAGTCCAAAGGGGCGTAAAAGGGATTCGGCTCTCGATGCACGACCCTGCGTAGGAAGCGCTGCCACATAGTCGACATGTACCCCGATCCGGCGATTGTTTTGGATGGTCGGATACCAGGTCGCGGTTCATGGTCCATCGCACTGTCATGGTCATCGCCTTCGTAGAGAAAGTCTCGGACAACAGCATCTTTGAGCAACATCTCGGTCGCGGCGGAACCATAATCGAGCGGATCTCTTCGACTTGCTTGTCCAAGCTTGAAGATGGAGGACAAGGATAGGTTACTTTTGAATGTGAGTACTCTGAATTCGCCTGAATAGACCTCACTTACCCATATGACGAGCTGAGCCCCTGTTCCTTCTGTTGAAGGAATGCTTTCACCTGCTGCAGACGCTTTTCGTCCTCGGACACATCAAAATTTTCTTGGATAACAGCAATAAACATGTTGAGTACGATGACTACTCATACATTAGCTCGATCTGCGCCAACTGATGGATCCTATACTCACGGTTGGCGAAGATGTACCAAAGAATGCAAAAGGAAGCTCCGATCCAGGCTGTGCCGAACTCCTTCTGGTAGCTAGTAACAGTATATAGGATGCTGGTCCAGTTTTCGCTAGAGAAGATCTGGTACATGCCCAGGAACGAATTGTAGATATCGAAGAATGGGATCCGGATGTTTTCTCCATCATTATCCTGTTCCGGAATCTCTCCACGAAAGAGCTGTGAGGCGAATATGGAAGCCAAGAAGGTCAATAGAAACACGAAGAGGATCAGGTTCAACAGACCACCAACGTTTCCAAACACAATCATCTGTCTCGTTCAGTATGTGTATATGTGGAGAGAGAGAAACGGATTTACTCACAATGAGGTCTCGCGTCATCGAAATCGCTAAGACGATGCGATAGACCCGGATGATCTGAAAGATGGTCAACCAATCATAAGCCCTGCCCCCGTACGCATTCTTTATGGCTGGTATCTGGATTATGGTCGTGATGAGTGCAATACCGAGGTCAGTCAAATTGCGTCTGTTCCCAAAAAAGTGTCTCCAATCAACAGCGAATCGTAACATGATCTCGAAAAGAAGCGCAATCGTGACAATGATTTCCGATGCGTTGATGAAGCGTTCCCGAAAGTTGCTCATCCTCGAGCTTCTCATCATCTGGCAGACCAGTCCATAAGCTATAATCAGAACCCAAACCCAAGCCGTTTTATCGTAAATGCGTTTCAAACTGCTGACTTTCTTTTCTCCTTGCTCCTTGTTCAGTTCTTCTTCATTGATTTCTTCTCCTGTAAATGCACTAGTTTTGCTCTCTTCTCGAATAATTTGGAAAGAAGAGGTGATGACTGCAATCAGTAGTGATATAAGCCACAAACTCAAGATGAGAATAGCCACAATGAAGAAAAGCGCGCTGACCAGGTAGTCGGTGTCAGCCATGGCATACAGTACATCTGACCAAGTGTTTGATGACATGATGACAAAAACCAGTTCGACGGACTGAAGTATGTTGTCGAAACTCTGCGTGTTATTGTAAGGGTTCACGGTCTCAATGCAGCGTGAGCCTCTGGGGCAAAGGAAACCCTTGCCGTCGGGAGGACCAATAACTTCACCTGCCAAGGACATGTACCCTTGGTGAGTGCCATTGTCTAGAAGATGCCCACCGCAAGATTGAGCTTTGTTTGTGAAGTTCTCAGCCTCTGTTGGGCCTAGCCAAACACAATGCCTTCTCAGACTGGATTTAAAGCTCTGTACGCCGACAATCGAGAAGAGTAGCCAGAAGAAGCCGATCAAAAACGCCACGTTGACCAGTATTGGTGCAGCTTTTTTCAGGCTTCGGAGAATGACCTTGAATGGCAGATTAGTAGAGTTTGGTACCATGTTATAAAAACAACTTACCGAGGTACCGCTGGTGAGGTTCAGGAGGCGAATGATGCGCAGACAACTCAGCATCTGGAAGACGAGGATGACGCGGCTATTATTGATATCAAACAAGCTCAAGACGAAGGCTATCCAGTAGGACACGACTGCAACAAAATCGGTTCTGTTGAAGGAATGCCTGAGATAGGCTCGATGTGCTAGACGCACTCGCTGCTGGTGCCGCGGATCATGTATGCCAGTGTCTGGTTGCATCTGGGCAGTTGTGAAAGTGCGCAGCACTGAGGGTTGGTGAGGCCCTAGAGCTGGTTCTATGTCGTTGCCAGTGCGGCGCTGGGAGGCTTGACGTTGTGGCCCTCCAAAGAGGTGGTTAAACTTGATCGTGAAGGCCTCTCGTAGGCCAACTTGTCGATTGATGGTACTATACTCGACAGGATTGAAGAAGAACCCCGACACAATCATGCGGACGATAATCTCTACGGTGTAGATGATAAAGAGTCCAAGCATAGCATAGTCAATGGCACTGCGGGCTTCGATTGTTTTGTGACGAGCAGGGTTGAACACGGCCTTGGTTCTTGCATCCACTGCGAGGAGGACGGTTTGGATAATGATTAGAACGAGGAGAAATGGCTCTGTAGCTGGATGGACGAGGACATCACACAGCTTGAGCCGTATCTTGCTATTAGGGGAGAAAATGCCCAAGCTTTTGCCGCGCAAAGGGTTTGCGGGTCGCTGCCATGCAGCACTTGGCTGCCGTTGGGGAATAGAAGGCGACGGTGGCTTCTCAACTGGTGTGGAAGGGGCAGGTGAGGTAGGCCCATCGGTTGTATATTCGGCGAGAACAGGAAACGCAGGCGGCGCGGCGTGACGGGCTTTTCGTATCGTCGACTTTCTCTTGAGCGTGGTCTCGGTGATGTGGGCATCGTTGCTGACGTTGACGACACGCTGGGACATGTTCCGCACAATTGTGCCCGCTCGATGCAACGGGGACTCGAGCGTAGCAGGCGATAGCGAACGCTTCCTTCCCCGTGAGTCCCGAGAGCCGAGGGTTCCTGCACCTGCTTCGGCCTCGCCGATGTCATCGCTGTGCCTCGCTGCGGTGGGTGAGGCGTCGCCGGGGCTCAAGAATTGGACACTTTGGAAGCTGCTGGACCGGCCATGCTGGTAGGAAGGGGTGGAAGCGGCGGCCCCGCTTATGGGCTGCAGATGGTGTGCATCCGTCAGGCGCGTTGTGTCGTCGTCGACATCGACGGGGGAGAAGTAGCCATGGTCTTCAGAGACGGAGTTCGCATATGGGTCACTGTAGGGCGTGTAGGACGGGTGCGATGAGCCCGAGGTTGGGACGGGCGGCGATGTCTCACCCTGGAATTCCACGCCCACACCAAAGCCAATGGCCGACTGGAATGCGCCTACGTCCATGGGCGAGACAGGCTCATCATGCTCATGTTGGACCAGCCGTATGCCGCCATGGTTATGGTTCGAGGCGAGGGTAGTGTCGAGGCGCGGCGCATGGTGTGTGGGACTGGGTGAGCCCTCTCCAATGGGCGCATACTGTGTATCTCGAAAGTGGCCGCCGGTGGCTATCGCGCCCGTCTGTCTCAGCAGGTTCCGCCCACGGTCACTGAGTGTCCGGCGATGTGGGTTGGCTGCGCTGTCGTCGAAGGGGTCGGGTGGGCGGTTGAGGTCCCGCAGCGGTATTGATTGGTGAGGGGTGGTTTCGTGATGGTGGTGATGGTGGTGGTTGGGATCGGGGTAGGACATGGCAGAGCCCTTTAGAAGCAGATGTCGCACTTCTCAAGTGGGCAGCATCTGGCCGCAACTCTCGAGCTCCCAGAAATGTTATTGCGCCGCCATTCAGGGTCCAACGGCTGGCTCGGTGATAAGTGTGTTGGGTAGGTAGACTAGCGGGGGACGGCGGTGGCGGCGGTGGCAGCGGAGGAGGTGGTGGTAATAATTGCGCGCTTCGAGAGGACGATGGCAGAGAATGGCAGGAGGCTAGAGGTGAATGACAATCGCGGACCGGCTGCGTAGGGGTGGTGTGTGGGTGAGGCGCATGTGGGATGGAGACACGGGATGGAATGTTCAATGGGATAAGTAGCAGAGCAGACAACAGACAACGCGCATGTCCAAATGTGAAATGGGCCAGGGTACCACCACCATTACCTGGCTACAGTACACCCAGGCTGGTAATTAGCAGGAGCGAAGACAGTTAGGCTAAGTAGGGCTGAAGCCGCAAGCGCCCCAGGGACCGGCCGATCAAGGGGGACTATATTTTTAGTCTTCTGGGAGTGCCGTACCGGTACAGTAAACTTAGATGGGGGATCAGGTCCTGCAGTAAGTAACTCATGATATCACATGTAAGTTACAGAGCATGCTTGCTTGTAGTATGAGATATCTACTAGGTGGGACTTTCTATTGACTGGAACAAGAATGAATGAATGTCGACCGAGCAACCCTCATCCAACACGTCTTCTATGTATCATGAAACGTCTGTCGGCCTACCACTCGGCATGTCTATCAAAGGCCCCCTGTCTCCAGGGCTGTCGTGCTGCACAGTGCAGCCTTCATCAGCCACACCTATGGAGACTTGGCATATACCTACGCCAACAGCCATGGCAGCTGAGGAGCCGAGGAGCTGAGGACAGCGGACAGGATCATATCTCTTCGGCGGTTCTGCTACCTATAGTACTTATTGAGTTATAATATGCACAATAATAGTTTGACATTAGACGGTGCTTGGTAGGTAGACTTCAAGATACTCTTTTCATCACACAATAGGTATAGAATATGTGTACATACAATAGGTAGCATTTGATTGCAAACAGGCTCGTGTGGTGCGTGTGAATAGAAATCCATCTCTTCGTTATCATAATATCACAACACTGTTGCATAGATCATGTCCTTGGCTGCAGTAAGAAAGATCACTATTCCCATGTACACTCATCTCCTCTGCTGGCAACAGCCACAACCCGATTTGACGTACGTCGTACCTTGAATGCGCCCGAATGACGCACCAGTCCAGATCGGGCTGATTCCCGCGGTCTACGCGATCAACCTCCCTTCACCAAATCGCCAGTTCACCTTCACTACAGTACACCGCCCAGACCCAGCCAACCTCAATTTGCGACCGAGAATATCTCTATTGCACAACCACCACTCTATTGATTTCCTCTCCTCAACACTCTCTACCTCGCCAAACACGCTACATCGACGCGTCGCTGCACGGCGGATTCCATCGCCATGCCTGCACGCAAACGCGCTGCCGCCGAAATGGAGGCACACGCAGCTGTAGAGGAGCCGAGCACATTGCAGAAGCTACGGAATATGTGGCAGTTTGCAAACCTCGCGCAGTACATCAGCCTGTTTGGAGAGGCGGTCAAGATCGACAGGGATTTCGACATCGAGGTACGCTCGGTTTGCGCCTGCGCTCACTGCAGTTGCGCCAGATGTGTCATGAACGGCCAACAAGCTGACACGTCTCTAGGAATTGGAGTCGGAGTGTCTGAAGCCTCAGCCATCCGAGAAGCTTGCACAGATTGGCCTGGCACTGCTCAAGCATGTCTCGTCACACAAGGGCCTCACGTGCGTTGCATCCTTCATCCACCTTACCTGCCTGCTAATAGACAATCAGGCCTGAAATCTTCGACGAGTACGCGCGCCGGCAATACGTCGCCAAGGCGCCCGCACGAAATCCCTTCGGTACCGACGAAGAACCAAACAAGTTCAACGACTTCGATGTCTTCACAAAAATTCGTGTATTGCAACAACTGTCCGTATGGACATTGAACAACCCAAACACCATTCGGGAAAAGCTCACAGCTACAGAGCACGAGCAGACACTATGGGTGAGAAGTACATTGGCAATTGGCGCACTGCTCAAGCTAACAACGTTCGTAGCGCATGGAACCCACTGGATGGGACGCAGAGGAGCGATCGTTGTTTGTCTTGGATGACAACCGAATGTACCGCCTCACAGATCCACCGCCACCACCACCGCCATCAAAAACGAAGCCAAAAGCCAAATCGAAAAAGTCAAAGGGATCGAGGTCTAGCAAGCGACAGAAGATAGCAACCCCTGAAGCAGAGGAGGCAGCTGAGGAAGAGGATGCATCCACAAACGAAAAGCCTGACGACATTGATGATGGCTTTGGTGGAAGGAAATGGGAATGTATATGTGTTACCTTGGAAGACTATCAAGAATATATGGCCAGTATACGCAAAAGCCGCGATCCGAACGAGAAAATACTGTTCAAGAGATTACAAGAGGATGTGATACCCGTCATGGAAAGTTTGGCAGAGGAGCAAGCAAAGAAGCAAGCCCGCAAGATGCGGGAGCTCGAGAACATGCAGAAACTAGCCATGGCCAAGCGCTCCTCCAGAATCTCGTCACGACTCGAAAAGCAGAAGGAAATGGAGGAGGCTGAGGAGGCCGAGCGTAGAAGAAAGGCCGAACTAGCAGCAGCGAAGGCAGAGCAGGAGAGGCTGAAGAAGTTGGAAGAAGCTCACGATTCGAGAAGAATGACACGAGAGCAGAGGTTGCGCGAGCGTGAGGCGGCAAAGATCCTCAAGGAGGAAGAGCTTCGCAAGCTACAAGAGAATGAGCAGAAGCTGGCTTCTAATAACGCTAGGCTGTCCGAGCGCCATCTCAAAGCCATGATGAAGAAGCACGAGAATGATCTCAAGAGACTGAACGAAGAAGAAGACTGGTTCTTCGATTGTGAGAAGTGCGGCACCTATGGCTCAAATTTGGTAAGTCATGTCTCACCATTATACTCGAACCACTAATAACGGTATCAGAACGACAAAACTCCTCAGATATCATGTGAGAAGTGCAATGTCTGGCAGCACATGAAGTGCCATGGCATCACAGAAGAACAGGCCGAAGACTCCAAGTTCACGTTCATCTGTACTTCATGTCGAAAGAAAGAAAAGGATGCCAATCAGCCCAAACTTCCCCCTCTCAAATTTAGGCTCAGCTCGGCGTCGCCTGCTTCCCAATCCAACACACAGACCAATGGGGCTGGACCCTCCACAGAGACACGAACTCTAGATTCTGTCCAAATACCAGCACCACTGTCATCCGCTCCACAAGCCTACGCCCCTCAGATGCATCCACAACCATGGGTTGATGGCCCAAGTCTCTCTCCTCGCGGTCAAGCCCTTGGGCCCCCTGGCATCCAGCGCTCCGAAGCTGCCTACGGCTCCCCTACCAAAAGCATGAACGGGAGCTCCTCCCCTATCCGCTCCAGCTTCTCCAAGCCAAGCAACTACCCACCCTCTTCACCTCCACCTTTCAACCTGCAAAATATCCCCAGCAGTCCGATGAAGAGCTCCCATCTGCCCATCCCCCACCAAAACGGACACTCACGCACCAACAACAACGCCAACGCCGTGACCAGCTCGACTCTGACCAACCCGTTCACAACCTCGCACCACACCACCCCACAACTCCAATCCTTCAGCCGTCCCGCCTCCGCCGCCGGCCCAGGCGGCAGCCCCATCAAACACTCCCCCCCCAATTCCCCCCGTCCCTCCACCCACCTTTCCAGCACCTACAACTTCAACTCGCCACACTCATCCTTTCCCCCCTCCTCCGCCCACCGCCCCTCCTTCTCCCCTACCAAACACTCCTCCCCAGCGCCCCTGCCACCTCACCTCTCCTCGCCCGCACCCGCCCCAGCCCCCATGCGCATCGCCCCCAGCCCAAACTCGCAGATGCCGGCGCAGATGCTGCCAGATCCTATTCCCGCGCCCAGTAAACACGACGGCATGAGGCCTGTTAGCAGCCATGCGATGAGCGAGACGAGAATCTTTCCGCCCGTCGAGGGTTTCTTGCCCATGTCTAGTCCCCCGATTCTGGAGCCGCCGGTTAAGAAGATGAGTCCGAGGCCGGAGAGGGCGTGGGGTGTTAATGGGGATGCGGAGGCAGAGGTAGATGCAGAAGGTGCGGTGCGCGAAGAGCAAGATGGAGAAGGAAAAGGAGAGGCTGTGCGTGCCGTGGATGCGGACAGTCTGTGAGCCATTCTGGATTCTGGAATTTGGAGTTTTTTTTTTTTTTTTTGCATTTCACGTTCAATTTCCAGTTTTCAATTGCAGTCTGAGATTGGGGGTTTACCTTTTTTACACATGTGCCACTTTTGAAAGAAGACGCATATAGTGCAAAGTGCAGTGCACACGCTTGGAGAAGAATTTGCAAGATTTGAATGGTCTTGTGGACATGGCACTTGTAGCCATGTCGCTTTAATTGACTTTTGAGGAGTAGGACATGCGGCGTACCTAGAGAATATGGCTTGTCGCAATATTTGACTTTTTTTGTTTGCTTTCTTCTCGCTTGAGTTTCCTGCCTGAGTTTCCACCTTGACTATTGTATTTTGTTAAATTTTTTTCCCTGAGGGGGGTTTTTTTTTTCGGTTTGTCGTTTACATTGGGTTTGCACGGTAGGGCATCGCAGGGCACCGTAAAGCACCATAGGGTACTGTAAGACACCGCAAGCTTTCCCAAAACCCCATGGAGCATCCTAGACTTCATCCTCGGCTTCATTCCCAGCTTGATTCATCACACATCCCACCACAACACACTGTAGCCTCCACCATGTTCTTTTCTTTTCTTTCTCTTTCCTACAGGATATTATAGGGCAGTGTAGCAGCGTACGCTTTCACCGCCGAGTATTGTAAAATTCTGCTGTTGCTTGAAGCTATGGATTTGGTCTTCTTTGGACTTTGTGCTTGTGATGGATTGGATGGATGGTCTGGTGTGGTGTGGCGTGGATATCTACACGGGATGGCATGGCATGAGATGCACTTGTAAGGGGGTAGATTGACTGGTGGGGCTGTTGGCTGACTTGCTAATTGCCAACTGCGACCTGTACTATCACTAAAATGTGCAATTGTGTCCTTGTAACCCAGAAGAAGAAGAATTCAGATCAGACAATTTCATCTCAAACAACGCCGGAAAGAGAAACAAGCAAACCAACGCCACGCCGTGCTCATGCGGAGACCCCCAGCAATGCCTTTAAAAAAAGGGGGATGTGTGGGGGAAGTGAAAAACGCAACGCTAACAGATGCTCACACATCATACATCATACATGTCTATTTTCACACGCCAATTGTAAAATCTACCGCCTTCTTCCAGCGTGTACAACCATGCCGTACCAAGGTACATTCTGATTTTTTTTTAAAAAAAATTCAAGCCTTGAGTCTCATCTCCTCACACTTGACACAAACGGGATCCTGAGAGTCTGCGCGCAAAAAGTACCGACCGTCTTCAAAGGGACCCTTGCATTCCTACAAGCGCGCATTAGCATGGCAATCAGACAATTGAACACAGACATTGAACTTACGACGCAGCAAAAACAGCCCATGTGCCACTCGGCACCCAGCGCCTTGACCACGGTATCCGTCACCGGCTTCCTACAGCCTTTGCACTTTGTACTGTAGCGATGGGTATGGCAGTTGACGCACCATGCGTACCCATCCTTCTCTACAAACGGCGTGCTCGAATCAAACGGATCGCCGCACTGGGCGCAGAAAAAGTGGCCTGCGTGCCATTCAGCGCCACAGGCGACGATGACTTCGCCTTCAATCGGCGTCTTGCAGCTCTTGCAGCGCGGGGAGAAGAGTTCGTGGAAATCAAGGTGGCAGTAGAAGCGTAGGGACTCGTCGGTACCGTCTTCGTGTTCGAGGCGGGCCATGTCTTCGGGCGTGGGATGGGTGGGTAAAAAGGCAATGTCTTGGCCAGACATGCGGGCGCGCATACGGGCCACGCGCTCGGCGTGTTTGTTGGAGGGCTCCGGGTAGAAGGCTACGCATTCGAGGTGTTCGCCGCATTGGTAGCAAGTGAAGCATTCGGGGTGGAAGCGTAGACCTGCTGCTGAGACGATGCGACCAGCGATAGGAAGCGCACATTGTGTGCAGAGCGCGCCGGTGCGGACTGTGGTAGGTGTCCAGTGGCCGCGAGGGGTAGGAGCACCGTTGTAACTGTGGGATTTGGCGTTGTGATGGCCTGGTATGGGTAGGGGGCGTTTGGAAGCGGCTGGACCGAAGCCAGCAGAGCCATTGACGTTGATGGTCGGTGCGGCAGGTGCAGCAACTGGTGTGACGGAGATTGAGGGGGCATTAACCTTGGGCGCACGACTAGAAGCAGGGGACTCATTGATAGCGATGCTGGGAATTTCGGGTGTGACGGCGATAGAAGGTACGTCGGCCTTCATGTGTCTCCTTGGTGCTGGAGTCTCGCTGACAGAGATGGTTGGCATGGGGGGCGTGACACCAATAGATGGCACATTTGCATTAGATCCACGACGAGGCGGACCGCTGACAGAGATGGATGGCGTCTCGGATACGGAAATGGATGGAACAGGTTGGCAAGGGGATGTTTTGGAGCGTAGAGAAGAGGATTGGTAAGTATTGACCGCCGGATTCGATGGTCCAGGAGGTGGTGCAGGTGTAGTCTTCCTCAAAGGGTTTGGGGTAGGAAGTGGCCGTGCTGGGGGATCGTCGTAGGGGCTGGACAGAGGCTGCTCAAACCTCTTTAGTCTTGAGGATAGGCTCGAAGTGCTAGGGGATGCCTTCACTTGGTGTGCTGGTGGTGGCGTTGGAGAAGAGGACTTTCTCCGTGCTTGCTCGTCCTCGGGGAGATTGATGCTGGGCACGACAGGCACGGTTGCTGCTTTAGACAACGTTCCAGGAGCTGCTTCGCTCTGAGTAGACGGAGCAGGCGCAGTGGCTGGCAGAATGGACTTCTCCTCCTTCAGTTCCACAACGTTCCAGTTCTTCTCGAAAGATACAATTGGTCGCCCTGGTGCGTCTGAAACCACTGTAGGAGTCGGCAGTTTTGGGCTCCGATCCTTGAGCTTGAAACCCGTTGCAGCACGAATCTCTTCGCTTCGTATCTCCTTTCCATCCTTCATTTTGATCTCGGGTTCGTTCTCCGCATTGGCCTTGGTGTCTTCTACTGGCTTTGGCGGACCAGAGTTCAATGTGTATGCGGCGTTCCGCGACTGAGTAGGAGGGTTCTTCTGAATCTCGTACCGCTCGAGGCGCTTCGTGGCGACAGTGGGATCCGTGTTCGACCTTATCATCGGACTGCTTTTGACCGACTGGAAGCGCATGAAGGGATTGCGTCTCATACCCAGCGGCAGCTTCTCAGGTTTCGGTGGTTCTGCAGCGGCTGGTGTTGGAGCGGGCGCAATTGGGTTCTCTTCCTCAGGCTCCTCGTATATCTGGTCGTTGGGGTTCTGGAAAAGGCTGCCGCTGATAGTCCGACGAGGCCCACTGCTTCTCCGCCGTTGCTTGCTGTCGGGCAAGTCCGAGATGGCCTTTTCCAAAGCCGTTGGCTCCTGTCCTTTGTTCTTGTTGTCAAAATAGCTCTCTGTAGCAGATGTGCTTGCAGCAGGTTTGGTCTTTGACGAGGACTTCGACCCGGTTTCTGGCCCATTGCTCTGCAGGCTGCTGCTCCTGCTACCTCCCGTCGCACTACTCATCGAATGGCGTTTTCTTATTTTCGAGTTGGCCCGCTGGAGATCCTGCTCCTTGGGTTCCACACTTCGGCTCCTCTGATGCGTGCTTTCCTTCCTCGCCAAGCCTGGATACGGGTACGGTGCATCTGGACCAGTTCCAAAAGCACGTGGATTGCAGTGTTTCCAGACCAGCTCGACGGCCTCGTCACGAGCAGCCTTGAACAGCTTTTCCTCGCGCGCCAAATCTATCTCTTCCATGGCCACTCGCACGGCATGAGCCTCATCCTGTTCCCTTTGCCGTTGCGGGTCCACGGCTTGCTTCAGACTCGATGTGCGCCGGTGGTCAGTCGCAGACCTGAAAATGTCTCGGCCGCGTGGGGGCTGTACCAGAGGTTTTCCCACCGTCTTGACTACTTGGTCTATACTCGTCTTGGACGTTGCGCGTACGTGTGGTCTCGGTCCATGCGAGATGGATGGGCGGGCTTCGGCGTCGGTGGCCGTGGCCGTGGCCGTGACGGGGTCTGTAAAGGTACGTTGGAGGGCGGCTACCGAGGAAGACGACTCTGCCATGCCATTGTTCGTTCTACTCGACCAGGTGTTGAAATGTGCGGGGGCTGGTCGAGCTCCCGTCGGGCGTGCTGGTCGATTTGTGCGAAGATCCTGGAGGTAACTTTCTTTGCCTGGAGGTTAGTAAACGGCGACGATGGTTTTCTTCACGTGCTACTGGATGCATACTCATCTGCTGTGGCGTGTAGTATGCCCCAGGCCCCGGTGAAGAAGCACCTTCTCTTTCCTCGGCCTTGTACATTGGTCGAGGCAGCTATCACTGTGACCAACCGCCAAGCTGTTGTGTGCTATCCTATCGATCACAAACACACGCAACGCCAGACGCGATCAACGAAGCTGCAATTCAATCTACGGATACCTCGAATGTGACTCAGAGCGAGAGGAGAGGCGTTTGTACTACTACGAGCTTGAGGAATAGGAAAAGAACAGCGGTGTTGCGGTGGTGGACAGCTTTGGTGGATGGGATGTATCGCTACTGGCGCGTTGCCCAGGGCGACTGAAGGTGTGACGTTCTGACCGCCTCCATCCCTGCCTTCCTGCTTCCCTGCCTAACTTTTACCACACTCCGCCTTGTCGGACCTCGGACCTTCACCACCACCACCACCACCACTACTACTACTACCACCGCCACCATCATCACCACAACGCATTCCAAAGTCTCGTTCCTTTCATCTCTATCCCCTCCATGGATGCAACAGGCTTGCCAGAATGCATTCTAACCTCTTTAGATGGACAGCTGTTCGCCAGTGTTGATGTAGCTACGAATGACTTGTCCACTGGGTCTTGCACCACGCTTCTTATCATCCCTATTATTCTTGTCATCTTCATAGCCTCAATTTTCGATCAAACGCATCTCTCTCTTTGTGTAGGCGTAGCAAGTATAAGTAGGATAAGCAACCTCACGCTCCCTAGTCTCTACGCCATAAACTCCGTACCAACTTCATGACCACACCCGTCCTACGCACCAGTTACAAACACAGCCACACCCAACCCCCCTGCATCTCCTCTACACAACGCACAACGCAACAAGAACCGCACACAAACCCAGCCTCCAAACTCCCAACACCTTACAACCCCGCAGCCTCGCACTGCACCGCAGCGTAAACTACATATTAGCTGCAGAGCCAGGGGCCGTGGGAGACAAGGAATCGAGGTACAAGACCCAGCGATGCGCTTGCTTCTGCAGAGAGAGCGCGTCGCGTGGATGCCGTGTAACCATGGTACGAGATTTATTTTTTTCTTCGTTGGGGGCGTGGTTTTGGATGCGGTGTGTGGGGATTAGATTTTGGTTGTTTGGATGATGGGTATGAGGGCATGGGATTGCTGTTGGAGGGAAGGAGAGTATTGTGAGATGGCAAGCTCGGTTGTGTTTTTATCCTTGGGGATTTGGATGCGCTCAAGGCCATGCTCATCTCCCGATAGCACGACTGCGGCGATCAAGAGTATGGAGAGAGAAGCATGTCTTGCGTTTTGTTTTCCGGCCATGCGGCATGATCCGTAGCTTTGGTTGCCTCGTAACCAAAACTGCGATTCGGAAGCATAGTCGAAACCTGACAGCTGGGAGAAAGACTGCCGGCGTGTGTGACGCAACGCCATTGTCCTCACTGGAGAAACGAGTGTCCTTCACCCAGAAGCACAACCCCATTGCGCTTGGACTCGCCAACTGGCCACAGAAAAGGTAAGACGGGATCGGTGCTAATATGATCGTGATGGACGGATTACCGGCACAACACACATGCGCGAATCTTGCTTTTTGAATCTCAGCGGCACCTCCAAGCGTTCCCCCAAGAGCCATATCCTCGTGACAGTTAATTTTGCATCATGAGAAATCTACAGGAAATCTAAAAACGAAAACGGCTCGGTAGATTCCCCCCCCCCCCCCTGGCCTCCTTGGGAGCACGCTCGGTTCTTCTTTTTCTCTTTCCAGTGCGCCCCATGCGGCGGAAAAGTTTATCGATATTCGCAATCATCTAAATTCCTCCCGAACGTGTTTCACGATTTTATTGGCTTTCTTGGGGATACCCTAGGACTTTTGTTTTTGCCCTGACAAATTGCATATGAGCTTAGCAGCGATACCCATGGCTGTCTGCCCGCGCAATACAGTCATGGCTGCTAGGGCTTGGGCCGTACATTAGTGGTTTTTAGGGGTCGAGTTAGCCGGTGGATAAAAGAGCTCTCTGTTTTGCCATTATATTAATCTTAGCTTCTTGCTACACGTATCGTCCGTTTCATCAAAACACAAAATGACGTCGATCCGAGGTCTTCAATCCTGTATTGAGAGCTGGAGTGAGGCGCGGAAAGCGGGAGATCGACCGACGACGTAATGGGTTGCGTTGATCTGTCGCTTCATTGGTGATGTGCGCCGGGCCTGGTGGGGAGTCCGACATGCTTCGAAGGGTATTCCATCGTGCGCTGGTGGAACGGACTGCGAAACCTTGAGCCACGCTTGGGTGTCTGTATACTTTTGACGACAGCTGAAGACGCGCTATAATGATAATGTCTTGTGCGCGAACCACACGATAGCACCATGGGTAGCGCAAACGTTGTGATGACGAGGCATGCAACGAGCTCTCACATCTTCCTCAGCACCTTCTCTTGCCGCGGATCCGTTAGCAGTGGATGCGTAGTGATAGCCTGCAACTCGCGACTGGAGCCATACGACGCGATGCGACCCTGGTTCTCCCACCTCGATCCCGAGCTCCGAATCGACGCATTGTCATCCTTTTCCCTCTTCGCGTTGTGGTTGAGACGGTCTGCTAGCCAGACGCTAGCACCGACAAACCATGGCCGTCTACCATGTGGCGTTACTAGGGCGAGACATTAGCTCCGGTGCCTCTTCATCATCCATGAGATCGTGTGGCGCTGCAACTTACTTGTCCAATATTCCCGATGATCTTCGTCTTCGGGTACAATATATCCGCCAGAGACGATCTTGGTGATGTACACCAAGCCGTTGAGGGCGGTGTAGATCATCATGCCCGCGATCAGACCATATGCTGCGCTGTAGCCGAACGGAATAAACATTACAGTGACGAATGCTGGGACGGCATCGCCAATGTATCGCCAGTTTACCGACACGATTTGGCGCATCATGAGGCATCCAACCTGGGATATTGTCAGAATACAATACGGTCTAGTCGAAAAAGGGCTTACAAGGATCAAAGTGCACCCGGTCGCCCATGGTGGAATCGAAGCGAAGATAGGGGCAAAGAACATGGAGATGATGAAGCAGGTACCACAAGTAATCGCAGTCAGCCCCGTCTTCCCACCTTCCGCGATACCAGCTCCGGATTCGACGAATACGGTAACAGGGGATGTGCCAAGGAGAGCTCCAATCGAAATGCATGTTGCATCTGTGCAGTACGCCAGAGTCGAACGAGGAAAGTCTCCAGTTTCCGGATCGACGACGCCACAGAACCGCGCCATGCTATATAGCGTAGCAGTACAATCAATGATGTCGACGTAGAGAAACGTGAAGAGAGCCACTGCAAAGTGGCCAGGCGCTTTCCTCAAATCCCAGTCCAATGAGTTCAGTGTATGTCTGATGGGCCGAAAGTTGACCACCTGCTTGAAGAAATCCCATCGGTGGTCACCCAGTTCGGTAGCCGGAAAATACGTGACCGGTGTGTCTCGTCTGTTGGCTTGTTAGGCTTATCGAGCAGTATTGAACATACAGAAACTCACGGCCATGAAATGACGGACACGAGCAGTATGGCGACGATCATAGCACTCCTGACTTTGAACCTGTAATTGTGAAGTTATGTGATCAGTGAATGCCACATGTGCGACTGATGGCTGGCAAATCTTACATCATGAGATAAGCTGTGATAACACCACCACACATGATTCCGAGCCACATCTAGGTTGCTGTCAGCAGGCTGCCGTGTCATGGTCGAACTCAACATACAGTTGGAGAAGTCATCTTGTGACTCAGACATTCTCCCATTTCGTTCTTGTATTTGTCTGGGCAACCCGCAATAGTGAGGGGAGTTTGTGCCGCACCGCTAATGGCACCAATACCAGAGGCACTGCTCAGCCCGATTTCGGCAAGGTACAGGCCGATACCACAAGCAGCTGCGATCTTGAGAGAGCTTGGAATGACCTTGACGAGCCATTGTCGCATGCCAATCAAGGACAAGAAGATGAAGATGAGACCTTCGAGGAACACAGCTGTGAGAGCAAGACTGTAGGAGATGGGACCTCTGCCATGATGTCCGACAACTTGATAGGCAAAATAGGCATTGAGACCCATACCAGGCGCTAAGCAGACGGGCATGTTTGTCAGGAAGCCGAACAGAAATGAGGATAAGCCGGCCATGGCCGCTGTGGCGGTGATTAGATCTCTGTGGAGATCTGTCACACAATCAGTCGAGACCGGTGTCAATTGGAATAGTGGGACCTACTTTGGACACAGATGTCGTATTCCTTATTGTCGTTTAGACAATATCGGTCATCGGGATCATTGCATACACAATTACCACCGGTGTCGGACAGAATTGACGCCTGATAACATCAGCACTGCGAAGAGAATGATCGAAAACAGACGTACGTTCACAGCAATGATGTAGGCCATCGTGAAGAAAGTGGTAAGTCCCGCTCGCACCTCCGTCGTAAACTTTGCATTCTTGATCTCGTTGTCCTGCAAGATATGTCAGTACAAGACTCAATGACCTCCAAAATATTGGGACTGACATGTTCGCATCCTTCAAGACGAAATATGCGGCCAAATGACGACCTTGCGACACACTCATTCAATGACGCTGCCCATCGTATGATAGCACTCATGGCTAGGAGGAGGCTGGAGTTACTTGGACGACGAGCTCATCTGTACCACAGACTGACAAAAGAGGGGTAAGTACTTGTCAGGCGTCGAGACTTGGTCGTTGTGGGGATGGAATTGCGGAGAGACAAGCATTGACAGTCAACGACTTCGTTATGGTTTGCTCACTTCACTCAGTTGCAGGATCAAGCAACCTGAAGCGTCGACGACAAAGCCATGTAGACGAAAGATGGTTCAGTGTAGTGTTGAAAGTAGATGAGAAGGCTAGATTGTATCAAACTTTAGTTTGACACTTTGACTCTACAGACTAGGGAGGGCGACCAAGAGATGGTAATCTGCATTGTTTAACAAGGTAGCGAGGCAAGGGCCGACGGATTCGTCGAACGGAGGATTTGGCTCGGACGACCTGTCAAGCCAGACTGGCAGCATGGGGTCTGGTCTGATCATGCCCGGACCTGGGTTCCACAGGCGGCTTATGCGACAAGCAAGCGTAGTCGTACAGTGGAGATGCTGCATTGGTACATTTGGTGTCCGCCCAGGATGCCTGTGCTGGGATGGTCCCTCCCCCCCTTTGGACGAGTCAGAGAATCTGGGACCGGTCTTTTGTTCATCAGGATTCAGGAACAGAGCCGGGGAAGACAAGGCCCGCGATAAAATACTGCTGGCGGCACGTCGATCGACATGGCACAAACGTAGTTGTCCCGTGTGAATTGTGCGATGAAACAGTCAGCCTGGTAAGCTTCAACGCTTGCCCTGGTCGACAGCCCGCAAGTACCGGCAGGTCTTGCGGCGCGCAGCTCCGTGCTCACTTTGTAGGCAGTTCTGATGGCCAAGTGAGAGAATTGTTGCCCTGTGACTAGATTCTTAGGAAACTTGACAAGGCGGGGAGTTGCCAATCGGTCCTTGTTCGTGAAGCTTGACAACGGACCGCCATCCGTTCATTTTCTACATAGTTTTGCCGCGACCTTCCAAATGATTAGCAGTGCTCCAGCCCGCAAAACATCCTTGATTATTGCGAAACCCTTGCACTTCATTGCACGAGATGGCCTGCCACATAGACGAGGGGCCGCCGAGTAGAAAGACCGATGAGCTAACCGCTTATACGGCTGCTAAACCCAAGTTCCCAAACCTTTTGCTTTTTAGACCATTCTCCACGTGTGACTTGGTGCGAGGTCGTACACTTCTAACCCAGTGGGCGATGATGCAAAGTTCACGGAGCGCATGACGTCCTGATCGATCTTGGTCAAGGCACGGCATTCGCTGCCGTTGGGGGTTCGTGTAAGTGTCCTTGGTCTCGGGGGATCTCATAGGCCTTCTACCTTAGGTTCATGGCGGCATTGTCGGGGTGCAACCATCTCTTCGTTGCTCAGATACTGCAGTCGACGTACCTTTGCGCCACCATCGATGGCTACAGGACCGTTTTCCTGGAATCCCTGCTATGTACCCAGCTGTCGCAGTGTCTTACACATCCGAACCCTTGGTTACATCTTTGGTGTCTCGCTCGTTCTCCTACAGAACTACCAGGACTAGATCTCGATTCCTTCACCGTACGAACCGTTTGAGTGCGCACATCACCACGCACCATGTTTGCTGCTGACCTGACCTGGGCGGAACACGGGACGGAGAAAGTGGGAGAACGAAGAGAGCGGAAAGAACGGCAGCGAACGACTCCGGCGAGCTCTATCAAGACATCGAACAGTTCCAAAGGCTCCACGAATCCGGAACGGGAGCTTTGGTGGACGTCAGGCCTGAGGAAGGCGAAGGGAATGAAACCAAAACTGTCTGTGTTGCGGCCAAAGACCGGTCGCAGTTCCACTTCAGAAAACACAGAGCGTCGAACAAGTCGGCCACAGTCACTGGTGGATTTTGGACATGGAGATCAAATCATCCAGCCGGGTTGGACATGCCCAAGCACGCTTCCACCACCACAATCTCGCGACGAGTCTCCGGAATCAGAGGTACCAGAATTGGAGGGCGATGTATCGTCACGATATACGGACTCGACTGAGCCCCAACATTTATGTAGGTCCACTGCCGCACAATTGGGAAGCCGTAGCCGTCTGAAATCTAACCGAGTGAATAGATGGTGCAAGATCAGAGGTGAAGACACCTATGACTGTTCGAAGTATTGACGACTCGTATCAAGGATATCACATCAGCCCAGCATCGGTGATTCCAGAAAGAAGTCGACAAGATTCATCGGCTACCGAGCGGGACAGCTATACCGATGTATCGCATCCCAGGGTTATCAGATATAGCAGAGGGTAAGTGTCCGCCTTGTCCTCAGTTTCTTGGCTTACAAATTTGCAGCAAACCGCAACAAGTGAGGATAGAGGGTGCCATGAGCGTAGAGGCTTTGAGTTTAGACGATCCTACTGAAGAGATCAAGCATGAACATTCGGTAAATTCAAGCCCGGCCTCGAAGAACCCATGTCGGCCATTATCACAGTGGGACTGCCTCTCCCCTCGTGGTGTCCCCAATGGATTGGTCATGCGATCAGAATCAGTCGTAAATCAGCCTGCCTCGACTCAGAGTAATCCGCATGAACCCAATCAGTACCAACGCCTCATTCGACGAATGGAAAGCGCCAGCTCAAAGATTGTCCTCGATCGACTCAAAGAAGACTGGTCAACAAGTGGACAAATCGACGACGAGGTGAGCTTTCTTCGCCATTCTGCACGTAGCATATTGCTGATACAAATGATAGTTGATTCTCGAGAAGCAGCTATGGCTCCTCACAGGGTTTCGAATGCAAGGCTCTGGCAAGCATCGGGTTGCTCCGAGACCGCAGTGCGACACAGGCAGGGTCCTGGAGCTATACGGCAGCGTTTGTAAGTCAATGTCATGTTGCGCAGAGCACTGCAGTGTATTGTCTAACAGGCAGCCAATGTTAGCTGAGGTACACCAATTATCGGCTATGCATCCAACCCAAACGGTACACTTTCTTACCACACAGAGAAAACGACCAAGCGCACTTGCAAACAACGTGTCTTACCTCACAGTACGCGATTCCGGAACCGTGCCCTTACCATACCCAGAGGAGTATTTTTCTCATATAAGAGCGTCCACGTTACCTTCGCTTGTCCCTTCAGTGAAGTTACCGGAACTCTTCCGCGAATGCTACAAGCTCCTTGCCCCGGGAGGTCTACTAGAGCTTCGTGTCATGGATGCTGCTCCAATGCGCAACGTTGCCGGCCCGCTTATGCGAATGTGGATCGAAGACAGATTGTCAATCAACCTGGAGAGACTCTTCCGCTGTTCGAAGCCCTGTATGCTGGTTCCAGGTTGGCTAGCAGATGCTGGATTCGACGTGAGTGCCATGGAAGGCGACCAGAGTATCAAATTGCCTTGCGCATACGACTCAAACTCTTCTGAGATTGATCGCGAACTGTCGACGGTCGTTGGGCAAAGTTTGTGGAAAGACATTTGGGGCACATTCGTTGACGATATTCCAGATGAGCACAAGTGGTTTTGGGAAGATGAGGAAATCGTTAAAGAGTGTCTGCAACGTCGGACTGTGTTTGAGTGCAAGACTATCCTAGCGTATCGGAGATAAGTGCTATTGGAACAAGGTGGAACTGTTGCCAATATGCAGTACGGGAGAGGTGGTTATGTCTGGGAGGGAAATGGTTGGCTTGCTGACGATTGGATTCGCTTTTGATACCCGGCGTGCATGATGCCGTCACGATTACTCGCTGCAAACTAGGCCCTAATGTTGTAACGTAAAACTACTTGTTAAATGATGTCTAGAGTACCTCTTTCCATTGCTCTCAGTTGATGCATTTAGTACACTATGTCACGTGGCAGCGCGTAAGCTTACTACATGTATCCATTGACCCTTGAGCCTTGCGTCCGAGGCTCATGAACAGCTAGACCCTGTGTTGGTGCCAGAAGAATCGTGTCTCATACAATCTTCTTATCGTTCAACCTTCACACAGACATCTACTGGTTTCGTCTCGAATGCATCGTGGCTGGCGTCCGTGCGACGTCGCACGTTTCAGCTGCGCATTCGGTCACGACTTGTTGCTACAGGAAGCTTTCTAGTTCCTCTCTCCCCCTATCGACACAATGTTCAGTAAATTTGGCACAAAGATCGCGCTGCAAAGAGCTGGATTGGGAAATATCTCTCTCCCCAAAACAGATAATCTATTCGGCAACGGCAACACAAACAGCGCCTCCAAAAACGATGCCGAAGGCAGTAACGGCGGTCTCGCCAATCCCTTTGCGAATGTGCAATGGGGCGTACCAAAAGTCCTTGCTTCATGGTCCACCCCAGCAGCGCCCCAGAATTCCCTTCGGGAGCCACCGATTATTGGCGAGAGAGCGCAGTCAAACTCGAAACTCAGGTTCCCTGCGGTGGATCGGCGACCGTGTGTGTTACTATTTCTGAGGTTTACTGGTTGTCCTTGTGAGTTTAGCCCCCTTTGCTACGAATACTGCGTGTCTGGGGTGGTTGGACTAACGGTGACGTGTAGTCACAGAGAAGCTGTTCCTCCAACTTCGTAGCCTCGCAAACCGACATACTGCTATCCATTTCATCGCCATATCGCATTGCACACCAGAGTCTACAGCAGAGTGGGTCCGCAAGCTGGGTGGAGCCTGGAACATCGATGTAATAGTGGATCAGACACGGGAGCTGTACGCGTTGTGGGGACTCGGTATATCGAACTGGGGGCATGTGTTGAACCCCCGTAACGGGTACAACCAGTACATGCTGGGCAAGAAAGAAGGCGTATGGGGACAGCCGGGAGTCGGAGAGGGAGGTTGCAGGTGGCAGGTCGGAGGGGCGTATGCTATCGATGAACGAGGAGTCGTCAAGTGGGGTGGGCCCATGAAGAGTGTAGACGACATGATAGTGTTCGAGGATGGTGTCAAATCCCTGGGATACTGAGGAGTCATTTCCCCCAAATGGGGTGTAGATTTGGTTCATTCGCATCGGTGATTTTAGAGGGGTTTATTGTCCGAATGTACGCATTAGGAAACCGTGACTGGGTATCAGTCATTAGGTTTTGGCCTCCAACCTCGCTTGGATGCTTCAAAGAGTATAGGGGCCGGCGCCATGCCACGTCTCTTCTCGCATTCATTGCACTTTCTTGCCATCCTGTTCCTTTGGCACGAACCTCTTCTTCACAGCCTTCACCATCAGCGTGAACCAGTAAATGTTCAAGAGACTCAACGCCGTGTTTCCGACCAGATATACCGAGACCAACCACATGGGTAAATCGCCACTCGTGCAGCTGCCAGGCGCACCATATCCTCCCTCACTCGCATTCCCCTCACACTTGACATTTTCCACGAGCGGGTCCATCATGCCAGTCGACGAGAGTGTGAGCGCCTTGTAAATGTCGGAGTAGATCATGACGGACTGGTATGTACCCCATACGATACGGCAAGCGAAGAATGTGACGAGCAGCGCAATACCATTATAGAGCTGGAGCTTCGAACCGGTCATGTTCAACTTGTCGCAGAACCAGTGTATGTTCAAGAAGGGCGTGGAGAGTTCGTAGAGGACGAAGGAGAGGCCGTAGTAGTTCCCAAATGGTTTCTGTACAGAGTCAGTATTTAGGCACAAACTTTATCAGATAGTACTGACAAATCCGATACAGGTTACTGCTAGAGCGCCGATTGCATGTAGCAAAGCACTTGGACCAGCGAGACTGAGATATTGCGAAGAGATCTGGAGGTCCCAGAGGAAATAACCAGCCGCAAATCCTTGGACCATACCGCTTGCCGGCGTGTAGCCCCACAATCGACCCCTCCAGTCCATCTCATGTCGCTGTTCATCCTTGAAGATGACCCACAGGGCTGCGCTGTTGATGAAGAGCGCCTGGATCATGGACACCCAGTGAATGTTCCAGTTTAGCCGTGTGCGCTTGTTGAAGCCAGCATATGCCTTGGGACACAGGAGTCGCGAGAGCGCTGGCGACAGGACATTGAGGACGAGGTGATAGCCGATGAAGCCAAACAGTATTTCATGTACATGGTATGGAAGGGTGGTCAACCCCAGCTTCTCAGCCCATGGAATACTGAGCTGAACAAGCCGTGGTGGCGGCGGTAGGGGATCCCGCATATTGGGCCTGATGATGTTGTATACTAGCGACATGGTTTTAGTTGGATGGGAGTTTTTGGTGCAGGTTGTTGCAATAGAGATGGGAGCAATACATGTTACTGTATGTCTGCTGACATATTGTTCCTGCTTGATAAGATCCTGCTACCATACATAACGTATGTTGTTGTGGGGCCTCGTTTGACCAGGGGGAGTAACCATCTGCGTGAAGCCTGCTGGACAGTCGTGCGTGACGATGTGTGCGTCGGATCCGTCAGTTACCGTCGTCAGTTACCGTCGTCGGCCACACAATGTGTGATCCGGAGCGAACTTGTGCGGGGCTGACGATCGCTGCTACCGGTACTCTGCCCCAAAGCGTCGCGCTAGGAGCGAGGCGAGAGAGAGAGTAGTAAGAGTTCCTGACGCTTGGGTTGCGAGCTTGCAGTGTGCTTCACTTCATTCCTCGTCTCCTCTCCTCGTCCCCCACCAACGTTTCGACACCACGCTTCATCGTACATCCAGCATCCCAACAGCATCCCAACTCCGAGTCTCGCCATATCTCGCCGAGCGCTGTGTAGGTCCATCCGCGCCCTCCCTCGAGATGGCGTTACCGGAAGGCATGCCCTTCAGAGAGACTAACAAAGTATGGCGCCTGCAACAGTTGTTCACACAGCTGCTAGCGTCGTTCGCACAGAGTTGATCCCCTCGAAACTCTTGCCGACTTTCGGACTTGCCAACCTCACTGTCATCGGTACCGGATAAACTTGGCCGCCGGTACGCGCTTTGAGACGCGCTGACCGCACAGTACACCGCCCAACTTTCTGCCCCTGCCACCTTTGAGCACATTTGCAACGCACAACCACAACAAGAAAGCATCAACATTGCGACATCGACGCGTACACGATTCAAGTTTGCCAGTAGCCCTTGCCCGTCTTGGAAGAGCTCAGAGATATCCGTGTCTCGATACAAAGCTGGATACAAGCACGCAATTGCCGTTGCCGAGGTTTTGACTCACTCCACCACCGCAAGACGCATCTCTAGTCGAATCTGGCACAGAAGGGTTACCGTTGCTCTCTGACCGTCTGTCCAATCGCGAGAGGCTGTATCTTGTTCGCATCTTGCGAAAACCGTTACCTCCACGCTTTGATCAATAGTTGACTGCAATCATGACGACTGACTACGCTGATGCCACCGACGAGTTCTTCAATGAGCATAGCCCCAAGACCTCCTCCCTTGTAGAGAGCGCGCCCAACAACGAGAATAGCGAGCCGGAGACGAAGAAGCGCAAGACTGAGGAGGAGCCCGAGGTGAGCAGCTGCACGAGTTGGAGGTGGTAGTTGCAGACTGACGATACATAGGCCGTCAAGAAGCCCAAGATCCAGGAGAACCGCGCCATTTTCGTCTCCAACCTTCCTCTAGATACTACCAAAGATGAGCTTGAGGAGACCTTCAAGAAGTATGGCATTCTCGATAAGAGTACCGAGGGCCTCCCTCGTATCAAGATGTATGAGGACGACGAGGGTAAGTTCAACGGCGAAGCCTTGATTGTCTACTTCAGGAAGGACTCTATCAAGCTTGCTATTCAGATGATGGACGACTACTTCTTCCGCATCGAGGACCAGTCCGCCGGCCGCATCCGCGTCAAGGAAGCCGACATGTCCTACAAGCGCAACAAGGAGGGCGATGAGATTGCCAAGAAACTTTCCCGTCAGGACAAGAAGGCCTCTGAGCGCAACCGTGCTGACCTCAACCGGTATGTCGGATTGAAGTCCGGGATTGTATTGAAGCATGCTAACAGCCCTGTAGCAAGCTTGCAGAGTGGTCTGACAACGAAGAGGAAGTAGCTGAAAAGTATGCGCCCAAGAAGAACAAGTGGGCCAAGGTCGTCGTACTCAAATACACCTTCACGCTAGAAGAGCTGGCCGAAGACGCGGCCAACTACTTGGAAATCAAGGACGACATTCGCGAGGAGGCCGAACGCTTCGGCACCATCACCAATGTCACGCTCTACGACAAGGAGGCTGACGGCATCTGCACCGTCCGCTTCCGCGAGTTTGAGGATGCGGAGAAGTTTTGCAAGCATGCCAATGGTAAGCCGTTTGCCTATAGGAAACTCGAGGCCTGGCTGGCCCAGGACAAGCCCAAGTTTAAGAAGAGTGCTCGTGAGGAGGAGCCGGATTCGGAGTAGAAGGTGGGAGATGTAGAGGTGGTGGCCGAATCGGCTTGGCGGGTGAGGGGAGAGGAGGACAGAGGGATTGATACCCCCGCCCACTGTGGGCTTTGGATGCAGGTGGCAGTGTAACCTGATGATGTGAAAAATTCTTTCTTGCTGCTTGTCATGGTTATCACCCAGACTTCTTAAATTTTTTTTTTGCAGTTTTTTGTTGTTGGGGTTTTTAGATTGGGAAGTTTTTTTTTGGGGTTTTTTTTTGGGGGGGGGGGGGGGGTTGTTGTTTTCGTGGTGATGACCCCATGTCGTGCGGATATTCTTTTGGCGGTGTGTTGTGGTGTCGTATTCTTCTCCTTGCCATTCGTCATACAACCGTGCTACATTGTAATATCCAGGCATGTCCAGGTAGGGAAACACATTGAAAAGCATCCAAGACACACGTCCCCAAGACTCGAGTTCTCTAGATGTATATAAATTCCTCATCATCCAAAAATCCATTTCATTTCTAGTTTCTTTTCTTATGCTACGGAGACGAGTCATCTTCACCCCTTTCAGACACACATGGTGAGAGAAGATGATGAGAGAGGATTAAATAAGAAAAGAAAAAAAGGAGTCCATATGCACAGTAAAAAAGCCAGACATTAAGGTTCCCACGGTGGGGAGCGCCAAGAAGAGAAGAAGAAGAAGAGGGCGACTCAAACGTCCCATGCCCATCTGGTATCCACATGTAGTCGATAGGTAAGAGTAAAATTGGTAGAAAACGCCAATATGCACCAGCCCGTCATTCGCTCCGCGCTGCCGGTTTTCTGCGCTGAAGAGCGAGTAGACACTTTGGCTGTCTACAAAACCAGGGCAATAGCGGCCACGAGCAGCGCCGCACTGCCTCCAACAACACTAGCAGCGGCATTGGTGAACTGGGCGGGCGGGGTCGACGAGGTAGGCGTAGGAGGCACAGGCGAACCTCCTGTTGCACTGGCAGAAGGAGAACCCGACGTGTTGTAAGTGGGCATCTCGGTGGGCTTGGGGAGGCTGCCCGAAGAGATGCCGCCCGATGGGTGGTCAGAGCCGGGAGACATGTCGGTGAAGTTTGCGCATCCAATGCGCGTCTTGTTGTGGAGATGGACGACAAAGGAGAGGTTGCCAAAGTACGAGGGATCAGCTTTGTTGAGGGAGCTGTAAGGGTCTATGTATCTACGTGACTTGTTAGCTTTTCATTCGTCTCCTAGAAAGGGACAAAAGAGCGTGGAATGGCCTACTCTTGCGACCAGGATTGTTCTGTCATGTTGCCAAATTTACCACTCAAGTCACCAGTCTGGCAGGTCTCAGGCTTGGTGGCATCGCAGATGGGGACCTCGCCGCGCAAGTAGGGATCAAGGTGGGCAGCAGTACCAGTGCAGTTTCCATCGGTGGGAACAGGCTTGGCGTGGATGTGGTACATAAAGGGACCGCCCTCAGCTGGGAGACCCGCGAAAGAGACGGTGAAGCGAACACCCTTGCCGTCGGGGGCTGAGACGGCTGAGATGGAGCCGCTGAGATTACTGTTGGCCTTGTGGGGGAGGACGCCGACAAAGTGGGCACCAGGTGTGCTGTCGGTGATGACGGGAGCAGGTTGGACGGCGGAGGACTGTGCGGTCGCAGCCGCAGCCATGGCGAGGAAGGAAACGGTGTTGAAGAGCATCTTGATGATTTGTGTATGTGTGGGGTAGAGTGGGTGTGGTGGATCGAGGATGTAAGAGGATGGCTTTGAACTCGGTTAGCAAGAGTGAAGGGGAGGATTGAGTGCGTGAGCGCGTGAGTATGTGCGTGGGGAACAATGAATGGCGACACCGGCGAGCTCGGGAGAGTGGAAGGGAAGGTATGGTTATTGTACCAGGAAGGCACGATCAGCGTGTTCATCGCCCGAGTTCGTGCCCAAAGCAGCAAACTCAATGGGGCAACGCGTGACGGGTATTATCACCGGCTCCAGGCAAGGGAAGGTGCGACCATTGACCTACCTGGAAAAGAAAAAACACGCGCAATCAAAGTCTAAAGAGAAAGATGCTGACAGGCTTGGATGCGGCGATGAGAAACCGACCCCTGCGACTCAAGCATTGTATCATATGCTTCGAAGTGGA